TTCGGGTAGAAACCAAACTATACCAAGTACAAAACACTTCACGTATGCATCTTTTGGGCTGCGTTTTGGTGTGTACCTAGATCAAACATTAGTCGATTACAGAAGATCACACATATTTATCTAGAGCTGGTTTTCCCGATTCGAACGAGCCCAAACACAACTCAGCATGATGCATTACAAACTGCTTTGCTAAAGTATTAATGAGCAAAACACATACTTGCTCATTAAAAAAAGAAAAATGTGGGTTGTTTTAGTACATAACAGAAAATATGATGCATATTTTAAAAAGACATACAAAATATTAGAAGAGAATATTCCCGTCTTGATTATAGAAAGTAAACTAAATCGACAAAACTAATTAATTGATCTTAAGTGACAATTCTACTTGCTAATTTAGTTTTTGTTCATGGTGGAGTTCTAAAAACACCAATATCACAACCAATCACAACACACTGCTCCAGCCGACCAATCACAACACCTGCTCCAGCCGTCCAATCACAACACACTGCTCCAGCCGACCAATCACAACATCCTGCTCCAGTCGACCAATCACAACACCTGCTCCAGCTGACCAATCACAACACACTGCTCCAGCCGACCAATCAGAGCGCAGTGATCCAGCCGACCAAACACAACACACTGCTCCAGCCGACCAATCAGAGCGCAGTGATCCAGCCGACCAAACACACTGCTCCAGCCGACCAATCAGAGCGCAGTGATCCAGCCGACCAAACACAACACAGTGGTCCAGCCGACCAATCAGAGCGCAGTGATCCAGCCAACCAAACACAACACAGTGCTCCAGCTGACCAATCAGAGCGCAGTGATCCAGCCGACCAAACACAACACAGTGGTCCAGCCGACCAATCAGAGCGCAGTGATCCAGCCGACCAAACACAACACACTGCTCCAGCCGACCAATCAGAGCGCAGTGATCCAGCCGACCAAACACAACAGAGTGGTCCAGCCGACCAATCAGAGCGCAGTGATCTAGCCGACCAAGCACAACACACTGCTCCAGCTGACCAATCAGAGCGCAGTGATCCAGCCGACCAAACACAACACAGTGGTCCAGCCGACCAATCAGAGCGCAGTGATCCAGCCGACCAAACACAACACACTGCTCCAGCCGACCAATCAGAGCGCAGTGATCCAGCCGACCAAACACAACACAGTGGTCCAGCCGACCAATCAGAGCGCAGTGATCCAGCCGACCAAACACAACACACTGCTCCAGCCGACCAATCAGAGCGCAGTGATCCAGCCGACCAAACACAACACAGTGGTCCAGCCGACCAATCAGAGCGCAGTGATCCAGCCGACCAATCACAACACACTGCTCCAGTCGACCAATCACAACACACTGCTCCAGCCGACCAATCAGAGCCCAGTGATCCTGCCAACCAAACACAACACACTGCTCCAGCCGTCCAATTAGAGCGCAGTGATCCAGCCAACCAAACACAACACAGTGCTCTAGCCAATCAGCCAGTGTTGTGCAGGTGAAATATGTTTTCATGAGATTCTCTTAAATCTTTGGGTATGAAGCGTTCTAGATGAAAGCCATCCATCCTCATGTTGCTCATATTCTCACTCTCTGCTCTGGGATCTTGGCAAAAACAATGAGCTTAACATGTTTTATGTAGTCTCGGGATCAAAGGAATTGATTATAAAACACTCGTTCACTCTCACCATAGACCCAGCACTTAGCCCAAAGAGCAGAGGATCCTGGGAGTCAAATTAAAAATGTGCGCTAGCAATCTGCTCATAGGCTTTCAATCACACACATGGACTCCTGCCAGCAATAAATCAATTCACTACAAAATCACACCGCCTCAGTCCTTCTTCAAGAGCCTGAACACACCGAACACTCCTGAGAGAGCGGCCAAGCCAATGATACACACACACACATACACACAGCTCTGTACCAAAGCCTAGAGAAATGATGACACGCTTTATTGTATTCAATAATGAAACACGCTGATGAAAGAACAGAGCCACTCATAGCTAGCACAACTAGAGCTGTTTTAGTTTAGAGCCAAGTCGTGCAACTTGAAAAGTGCAGATTCAAACCTAAATATAATGTTTCACAAATGATTAGGGTTGGGTATCGTTTGAATTTGAACGATTCTGATTCCGATTCCGATTCTGATTCCTTGTTTCGATTCCGGTTCCTAACGATTCTCGATTTCGATTCTTTTAAGAGGCAGGGTCAAAAAAGTTTAGCTAACCTTGCTAACCAACGGTCTTTCTGAAGGAAATACTCCTTCTGTCACAAATACTTGTCACAAATTTTGCATTTTGCCGAGATTTCGTTAATTTTTAGAAAAGTGAAGCCACACTTTGGACCGCCGACGTAAGCTACTCATGTTCGACTCGCGCGGTTATGCCAACACTTCCGGTAGACGCTTCTTCGTTGGTGTTGTTCAGCGGTTTCCTCTTCCGCTTGGCGGACTGTGAATATCGAAACTAGGAATTGAAATTTTAACTTTTAAACGATTCCGGGAAAAACGAAAAGTTAGTCTCGGTTCCAATCGATACTCGATTCTCGATACCCAACCCTACAAATGATTGGTCTCGTTATGCTGTAACAGTATAATTATACATTTAAGTATTGAGAAATATTAAGCGTTTAGGTATTGATTAATTAACAACATGACTGGGATAGGGTTAGTGTTTGGTTTAGGGATAGTTGAGCAGGGGAGAGGAGAGGGAGAAAGACAACGACAATAAAACAGGGAACACAAATCAACAGCTTAACACACACAAGTGAAGACAAGCCTATTACAAACAAAGTTAGCAAAAAGTTCTGTCATGAAACTCTAGATGGCGCAGGTCTGCTTGGACCATAACGGCATCTAAAGATTTATATGCCCTCAGTTTCTCTTTACGATCAGTTACTCTATAAGGTAGGTGTAGAAGTCAGGCCACTCAACCGAGGTAATTTACGCTAATCCCGTCAGATCGTCCATGCATTGAGTGAGCGTGTAGACGGCTACGGGTCGACCAATCTGGTTTCGTCCGTTAAAGATAACTTTTGGAAATAACAATCGTGGTCCTGGACACTGAGTGACCTTACACATTAAGATAATATCGGATTTTCTCCAGTCATCGTTAAAAAACAAGCTAACAGTACTTGCTAACTAGCGTTAGTGAAGCGGCCAGAGGGATCGTTCTGCCTCCACCTAAGCTCCGCCCACAAAAAACGTCACCATGTTTACCAACTGAAAAGGGGTCTATATCGTAGCAGATCTACTCCTGCGAGACCAAACTCACCTCCAGTGTCGTATCCATGACCAGACCACACACTCACAGAGTCGTCATGACAGAAATATGTTCAACGTTACATTATCAGCTTGGAAAATACGCTAATTTGATTAAAAACACAAAAGATAATTCTGCTATGTGTCCAGACGAGACGTCCACGTCTAAGAAAAAGGTGGACAGGAACAGAACATACACTTCAAAATAAAAGTCCATGAACACAAAACCAAACAGGGGATTATGCATGCATGATGTGCATCATTTACTGTTATTAATATAGTAAGTGCACGTGTAACAAGGACAGATTTTTTTTCTCGTAGGTGTGGTTTCCAGACCGATATATCGGCAGACCGATATTATCGGCCAATATTAGGCATTTTCCAAACTATTGGTATCGGCAGTTATAATGGCCGATAAATGAATATTTCAAAAGTAAAATAAAAATGGACGAAACACGCTTGAACCATGTCACGAGTGTTGGAGTTGTATAGTTTGTCCACCAGAGGGCACTCTACACCGTTCCTGTTGGCAACACTCGTTGAGTTGGTCACAATACATATATCGCTTGAATAACAATTAAAAGAACATCCCCATCCATCAGTTCTCTAAACTCAAATAAGCATGACAACATTTGTGACTATCATGTCCAGTTTCAAATAAATAAATAAATAAAATATCGGCCGATATATCGGATTTTAAAACCCAAAAATATTTGTATCGGTATCGGCCTTCAAAATCCTTTATCGGTCGGGCTCTAGTTTATACTGGGATGTTACCTAATAGAAACATGATGAAATGTTGTACATTTACTTTGCATGGTGAATTTGACCAAATAGCAACCAAAATGCAGACTTCGCAATAGAAATTCAGTGATTCCTCATCAGAGTCATACGTTTTTCTAATGTGGTCGAACTTTATTAAGAGTTAAATTGAGGGTTTGATCCAATAATTTTGTGATAAATATATATTTATATTTTATGCTTACCAGAGTATTGAATCACAGCTAAGCAGCATGCTAAGATTACGATTCGCAACTGGTAACAATTGCAAGACTTTATGCGCGTCACTTTTCAGCGAGTTCATTTAGTGACGCATCTATAATTTATGCGAAGAGAGTTATGTAGCTGCAAATGATGGGAAAACCAGTAAAAAACCACAATATCCGTTTGGTGAGGTTTTTCTAAAGCGAGTGACTCCATTAGCCGGAGCTGTGGACTGTGCTAAAAGAAACATCGCTAAATAAAACATGACTAGCCCAAAAATACAAAGAGAAGAGTGTGTGATGTGTAGAGATGTGGTGTGGTGGGCGTAAAACCCAACGCTTATTGCTTTCACATAGTGCGCTTCATAAATGAATGACCTTTTATCTTATAGCATGAAACCAATAGAAGTTAGGCAAAAAATAAACAGTGAAAGAAACTCATAGCGTCTGTGAGCGAGCATGGCACGAGGCGCACACACACACACACTGCAATCTTCTCATGCTTTCAGACACAAGCTTAAAAATGTATGAACCGCTCAGAAACATCTTCTCCTGTGTATCTCCAAATATAAGAAACTTTTTCATTTAATGAGCCAATTAACAATTTGGGATTTTTATTTGAGCTTGTTTTAGTTTTTCCAAAGATTTCGTGAAATTTAATATCAATTTGGGCATGAAAGTAAATCCTACAGCCGTTATTTCCCTGTTCTCTCATTGAAACCGAGACTGTTCTCAGGATACTGTGATTTTACACATCTTAATTTAACCTCACAATCTTCCAGGAACCTCCCGACACACTCGTACACACTCTTCCTTCTATCCTGGGCTTGTGTGAATGATAGTCAGCAGAACTCCCTCAAACACAGCGGTGAGACACATCCAGAGCCGGGGTTGAAGAGGAGTCTTGATTTAGTGTTTCAGGCTCTACTAAAACAGGTTTTCCTGCTTGAATGTTGATTATTCTCCTCATTTTCTCCATTGTTGCGGCTCCTCTCTTCCCAGTCTGTCAGTATCGCTCTGTTTACTTCCTGTCTCTATGAAGCCCCTCCTCCTGAAAAGCACACTGTGCTCTGATTGGTCATCTGGAGCAGTGTGTTGTTCGAGTGTGTTTGGGTAAATGTACAATAACCGCCAGCTTAACACGCTACTAACTCACTCAAACAGGCCCCGCCCCTTTATTCTGCGCATTAATTATTATAATGAGGAACATTCGTTCCTGGAAGAAACTCAAGACTACAATGGAGGCGTTTCAGAAGCTTAAATGAAGAGTTCACAAAAGTGGCCCAAATCTTTGCTCGCACACAGCGGTGTGAACGGCACACACACACACACAGCATCTGATGTTTTCAGTTCTGGTTTGGGACACTTCCACATGTGCTGCTTGTTCTTTCATGATGTTTTGCAATGGGAATTTGAACACATGTGACTTTTACGTCACTCGAGAAGAGTTCAACATTTCTCACAATTCTGCACTCCAAAGAATTTCACACAAGTACAGGTGTGTGTGTGTGTGTTCCTGAAGAAACATACTCAGTCAGCCTGGACTTGAACTTGGTCAGACCACAAACATGGCAGCACGATGGGAACATGACTTTGCCGCTGTTGTCCATGGACAAGACTAACCAGCAATAACAGCGTTATATATAGACATGGAGCGAACCGTTTCCTGTAATAGAAATAAAAAAGTTTCACCAGTTGCCGTTCACGAGCTAGTGTGTGACAATGATCTATAACAGAACTTGCTGGATCACAGGATATGAAAAAGTGAGATAAAAGATGCTCTAATTCAGCCTCGGATGGATCAAACTGATAATACCTCAATAATGAGACACACACACCATTACCAAGATCACACACACCAATCCCTGCTGTTCCCACACACACCGCATCTTCAGCCGCGAGAGAGCACTAGCGCTGGTCCTCATCACATGACCCGACTGTGGTCAGCCTACACCGTCACACACTGAGCGACACTGTACAAATGTGTGTGTGTGTGTATTTCAGCAGTGTGTATTTCTAGTCCTCCTATATAAGACACTTCGGCGGGTTGAATTCTATACACGTTTTTCAATTTTACTCTTTTAATAAGGCTTCTGAAATAATAAAATAAGTGCAGAGTAGTGTTGTCAAAAACAGATTTTTTCATATCGATCCTGAAATATCTGAAAAACCAGCAGCTCTCTCTCTCGTTACACATAAACCCGCCTCCACTCACTCAATTCCTTTGCTCAATATGAATATTGTCACAAGGCTTGTTTTTCAGCGTGGGATTGCGTGTATTTCACATACTTTTACTAATTTCCACAGATTTTGTGCTCACACCCAAAGTAGCGCCTCTCAGCACTACACGGAGTTATTTTCCACTGCTTATTGCTCTTAAACGGTCAAACACACACAAAATAATGTCAAAATGTGAAGATAAACACATTCAATTATTATTGTTTTAAGTGAATTTAAACAGTAAAACACAGGTGTAACCTTAGATATCCATAATAAAGGCTGGATGTCTCGTCCGCTGCTGGCCAATGGAGGTCGACGTCTGCACTGGCGGCCATCTTGCCACAGGCAGCTCGCTCACTCGTAATGTTGTGTTTTAATGGTGCATGTACTTTTTAAATAAACATAACCTGCTAAATTTTCTACCGATTTTCAAACGGTTTGGTTTGTTATAAACGTCAGAGATGTAGTTATGACACTGCATACTTATGAATACGTGTATAAACCCAGAAATATAGCCACGTTAATAACGCTTGTAAGAAACCAAACCGTTTGTAAATCCGCCAAGATTTAAACGAGATAAGAGTATTTGTGTTCGTGCTGATCACTCATCTTACATCAGCTTGCCTGTCACAAGATGGCCGATAATTCTGAAAAAAAATGGCTAATAATTCTGCAGCCAAATTATGAGATATTGTTAAAAATAGATATATAGCAGTTTCCCCCCATGGTGTCGATGTCAAAATTGTGGCCAGTGAAAATGCTGAGTGACGAGTAACTTAGCTTAGAGTAACTTAGATCCTGGATCAGTGAGACTTATTTCTGGAGTTTCTGAAGGCTCCACCCTCTTCTGAATGGAGGCGGAGCAACAGCTCATTTTCATTTAAAGGGACACACACAAAAACGTGTTTTTGCTCACATCCAAAAAGGGGCGAATTTGATGAGCTATAATAAATGATCTTCAGCTGAAATTTCACATTCTGGGACACCAGAGATTCACTGGCGTAGGAACCGGGGGGGACGGGGGGGACGTGTCCCCCTCAATATTGAAAAATGCGGCATGTGTCCCACCCAAAAAATTCCATACCTAACCTACCTAAACTGTACATTTGGAACTTTTAATTTAAAAGCACGACAAAGAAGATATCCAGTTTTGCCAGCAAGTCAAACCCAGAGTGATAGTTAGGTTAAACCATTAAACCCGGTTAAACCTTCCCATTTCATGTTTGAATAATCACCATTCGCTTCATATATTTCACTCACCGGAGAATCTGATTGGTAGAGAGAAGTTAACGTTACACTGAAACGCATCAGCTTTGAACTGGAACCTACATGATTTATTAATCTGACAATGTTATTTTTGTTATTAGCTCCATGTTACTTATAATATCACATAGCCTACATTTGTTTGCAGTTTGAATAAATAAGTTTGAACTCTTCTCCACTTTATTATACCACACATCAGATCTCCAAAATCCCGCGACCGTACCAAGTGCGCACGACCCATCTACGGCAAGCTCCGAGGGAAAAAATACTTTGCATACACACATACAACGAGCGCTAGTACATCAGTACCGGTGTTAACAGACTTTGTTGGATTATGTAATTTACAATCCAAAAAAATCTGTTACAATAATAATAATAAAAAAGATTTTGAGGACAGTTACACTGTATTGAGAAAGTTGAGAAATAATAATATTTTTAAAGTTTAACAATAATTGTCATTATTGAACCCTTGCTCTTATTTTGTTTCTGATTTCTCCGCTTTGTAATTATTTCAGCACATAATTTATTTTTATATATTTTGACACGGTTTGTTTTAAGAAGTTTCAAAGAGTTAGCAAAAGAGTAAAGTAAAAGTTAAAACTTTTTTTATTAAGTATTTATTTTGTATTAACAACGTATTCATTTATAGTGTATCATTATTGCGTGACATTTGTGTCAATAATCGTCAAGCACAGGTGACTTCGCGTAGTGGGAGGGGGCCCCAAAAACAGACCGCCACTGCATGTACTGCATTACCAAACTGTATGTTACTATTATGGTGGTGGGATAGACGTTGATTCATAGTGGCCAGTATGTCCCCCCCCAATGTCAAAGACGTTCCTACGCCCTTGCAAAGATTTATAATACATCTTGAGAAAAGGGACATAATGTCGTCACCTTTAAATGTGTCTGTACTGGCAGGAAAGCCGGCTGTGTGAAGCACTGAGTCTAGTTGAGCCGGGCCTGGTGACGTCTGTGAATAAAGGCATGAAGGAAAACAATGGCTATCAGACGGCGTGCAGGACAGGAAGTGATGCACACGCAAACAGGAAGTGGACAGGGGCTGTTTTCCGCCATCCCGCTGCGCTCTTTGTGTTGTTCACGATACGCTCAAACACTTCAACCCAAGCAAAGACGAGGCTTTTCCACAGGAGATCTGCAGCTATTTCCAGTGTGTGAAACGGCCCTGAGAGAAACTAGGCCCGTCCACAGCGGGACAGCACATACGGGTCAGAACTCGCACTGTTCCTCTACACACACTCGAAGGTTTGGGGTCAGTGACGTCTGCTAATGCGTCTGCATTTACCAATAATACAGTAACAAGAGTCAAATATTATTGCAGTTAAATATCAGTTTTCTATGTGAATATATAAAGTGTCATTACTCCAGTCTTCAGTGTCACATGACCCTTCAGAAATCACTCAGGATCTGATGATCAAGAAACAGTTGAAAACAGTCGTGCGGCTTCACATTTCTGAGGAAAACGTGATTCATTTCTCAGGATTCTATGAAAATTCAGCATTTATGTGAAAAATAAATACTTTGTACCATTATAACTGTATGGATCAAGTTAGTGCATGCCTGATAAACACAAATATTAGTTAATTTTAGAAAAATACACAACAAAAAATCCCACAATACCTCTGAATCACTCTGAAATGGTGATAAAGAGTAAAGAAGGTTTTAAAAGATTGGACCGTAATAGTGTGTGCGTGTGTGAGCTGTGCCTGACAACATGATCATACAAAACACTCCTGTTACAGTGACTTTCATTAAAATAACAGGCATCAAATCTCAGGATGATCCGCTCATTCCCAGGCCCGTCCTGAACACATCTGCGCTTTAAACTTCTGTTATACTATAAAGACATAATCACTTTAAGTGGTTTACAAATAAAACTAAGAGGATATTCCTTACAAGTCGAGTTCCTGTGAGTGTGTATGGAAAAGTGTTCAGATCCACACCATCAGGAAGAGATTCAACTCTTTTACTGTATGATCAGAGGAAAAAGTGCCGCACACACACACGAGGTGCACATGAAATGCAAAAGCATGCGGTTGTTCTAGTCCGACATTTCCAACGCCAGATAAACAGGATCGCTGGGAATAATCCACATCTCATCTCATTCATCATCATAATGAAACGCCTCATGTGTGTGAATCGGCATGCTCGTTTACATGTGTGTGTTTGTGCGCCAAAAGTGTTTGAATTAGCCACTATACCCCTGTCTTTATCAGTATACCCGCTGTCTTGCATTGATTTTATTGGGATTGAATGGTCATTGCGATCTGAATCATCATCATCATCATGCCCTATTATACAGACACATGACAGATCAGATATGTCAGAGGCAGAGCACATATGGAAAGCTACGGCATGCATGTCAACTAGCCCTCGTCCGTCACATGTATGCACATATCCACAGTGGACCCGCTCAAGCCCGAGTTGTCGCATGGATATACCGGTAAGATGAGACTCACCCTCGGAGAGCTCCAGCTCCAGCTCCGCCAGCTTCTCTCGCACGCCCGCCGGGAGAGGCGTCGCGATCCCCGGGTCCAGCATCATCATCAGTACCCCGGAGGAACCGCGTTCTGCCATAGTGATAGTGGTCAATAATCATGAATATAAGTGTCAGACAGCTCCAGCTCCAGGTCCGCAGGCTCGCCGTGCTCGATCAGCTGCAGGAGAGAGAGAGGCCGGGCCGGGCGCGGATCGCATGCAGATGTGGGGAGGATCGGGGCGGGTTGCATGTAAGCTGCACTCAGCCCTTCCGCTCGGACCGCGGGTCTAATGTCGAGATATCGGACCCACACACTCCTCTAAGCCGGACCCAGCGCTGCGGGCTCGAGCATGGCTGAAGATTCCCGTGCGATTCTCCGGAAAACAAAGAGAAAACACTCCCCAACTCCGAGCCTCAGCGAGCCGCCAGCGCCATTGCAGCAGAGCAGCTCCAGTCAGTGCTGCTGACACACACACACTCTCTCTCTCTCACACACACACACACTCTCTCTCTCTCACACACACATACAATTTTTATTTTTTCATTTTTAGTTTTATTATAGCAAAGACAGAACAGGACTGCATTTAAAAAATACAAACACAGGACAACCTCAAAAAAATCAGTAAGAAAGTTAGCCTAATCTCATATATTCTTTAAGAAATCTGTTACTCTTAAGTTATTATTATAATTTCAGCGAGAAAGACATCTAATCTTGGCAAAGTATTGAGAAATGTAGTCTCATAAAACATTTGAATTAAAACAAAGAAATATATCTTTCTAAAAAAGTTTAAGTCACATTTTATAAAGGTAGATAGAAAACATCAGACAAGGCAATTGCGACTTTTTTATCTCACAATTCTGACTTTCTTGCTCACAATTGCGAGTTTTTTATTACTTTATTTCTACACAAGTATGACTTTTTTCTCCTAATTCTGAGTTTAGACATGAATTCAGAATTGTGAGATATAAATTTGGAATTGCGAGAAACAAAAAGACAAAGTTGCCTTTTTAATTTTTTTATTTCCGTAGTAGAAACAAGCTTCCATATAAATAGCATGTAAAAAATCAGAAATGCATTGGTGTTGAATCCCCTGCAACGAGTAGGGAGTGCCTGTGATCCGTGTGTGTGTGTGTGTGTGTTGTCAATAACGGTGGTGTGGGGCCGGTGGACGGGCTCAGCACGGAGAACATGGCAAACATCTTCGAGACCAATTTCTACGGCACGGTGCGCATGATTAAAGGGTTAGTTCACCCAAAAATGAAAATTAAGTCATTAATTACTCACCCCCATCCTGTACCAACCCCATAAGACCTTCGATCATCTTCGGAATGGTAGGGGGCGGTAATACTCCTAAGCGGTGAGCAGCCGGTAACAAGAAGTAGACGAATGAGAACGTCCTCGTCTCAGTTCTCGCGCATGCGCCCATAAGGAAGTAATGGAATAGTCGAATAAAGTCGTTATTTATGTTTTTTTCGCACAAAAAGTATTCTCGTCGCTTGATAAACTTATAATTGAGCCGCTGTAGGCACATGGAATATTTAAACCTTTTCTTTAATGACTTTATGGGCCGTCAAGAGCCAGTCCCTTAGACAGTCTATGTAGGACTGATCCAGCTCTCAGATTCAATCAAAAATATCTTTATTTGTGTTCCGAAGATGAACGAAGGTCTTACGGGGTTGGTACAGCATGGGGGTGAGTAATTAATGACTTAATTTTCATTTTTGGGTGAACTAACCCTTTAAAGAGGTCGTGCCCCAAAATGAAGAGGAGACGCTCTGGACACATCGTCATCATCATCAGCAGTGTGATGGGCCTGCAGGGTAAACACTGAGTCTTTATTCACTTCACTGGATTTATTTGCATTTATTGCGATTAAGAGTTCTTCCTAAAGTACTTCCTCCACTTGAGGATTATTGTCCTGATAAGTTAAACACATGTACAGTCAAACCAAAAATTATTTAGACACCAGATGTAATTTTGATATATTTTTCACTAGTGTGTGCAGGACTCAAAGTAAACAGTGACAAATTATACCCAAATATTCTTCATACAGCGACTACCATTTATAACATCTGGGAGCAAAAGTGACTCCTCCACTTTGAGCTGATGATGTTTTGCTGAAGTGTGTTTTCTGCTCTTTTTACACACACACTGAACAACATGAAGCATTGCTTGGTCACTGGTTGAGCTAAACTGGTATTATCTAATTGTGTAGTTAAATTTAACAGATATTCAACATAATTCATGTGTGAGAGTCCAACAGAAGGACGGACAAAACCAGTCAAATATCACTGATCTGAGAACTGAGTTCTTGTTATATTTTATCACCATTTTCTAAACTACAGCGAATAAATTGGTAATGTAAGAAATGTTGAAGGTGTCTGAATAAGTTTTGGTTTGACTGTATATTTCTCCTTGAAGAACCGCAGATCTCTTACCTTCTGTGAGGATGAAGACAGATGACCTGCTGAATGACAGACATGTAGAAACATCATCAGTGTACAGGACATTCACAACTCTAAAGTTATAAAACTGCGGTAAGAGATGTACCTCTGTGTCGGTCTTCTTCACATGTGTGGCGTTTAATGACGTCTACTACGCGCCAAAGTTCGCCATAGAGGGGTTCTGTGTCCGTCCAGCTTCTCAAGTTCAATGTCAAGTGAGTTTCACCGCACTCTCAACACATGTGTTTGCCATTTTGCTCAAATCTACACTTCTGCATCTTCTCGTTTATATTTCCTGTGGTTTGATTTTCAGCATCTAACACTCTTTGGCTCTTAACATCAGTGATCAAACATTGAAACGTGAACATTAGCAGAATCACACGAGCTGTGTTGTGTGAGAGGTCCCTCTGGTGGTGTGGAGAGGCTGTTACGGGTACAAACCCAATAAAGATCACAGATCACAGATTCATTTTACATTGCCACTCAATGTCTCCAACTTCACACAGTTGAGAACCGCTGTTCTAGAGAATCATCTACATCCTGTTCCCAATTTCTTGTTTGTTACTTCCTGTCCCGACTCCCGAGTGCTCTGTTTGTAGTTCTTTGTAGTTTTCTTGTTGATTAGTCTTGAGTTATGTTTATTGTTAGTGTGTATATATAGCCCTTGTGTTTCCTTTTTTCCTTGTCGGTCGATGTTTGCTGTAGCAGGTAGATGGTGTCCCTGCTCAGTCATACATACACACCGATGGCGGTGTCACGGACATCTCGACACTTGGTCAGGTGGAACCAGGGTTAGAACCACCAACCTTCAGGTTTGTAGACAACCTACATGAACCACAGGTGAGCCACTGCCTCACCTAGATCTCTGCCTGCCATCTCTTCAGCTCCTGCTTCATTAGCCTACAGATCTGAGTTGATGCCTCTTTCTCTGGTTGGCGGTGTGTGTATTTGATTTCCCATCTTTCTGTCTGTCTGTCTGTCTGTCAGTATGTCAATGATCGAGCCCGTACACACCGAGTTTGAGATGAGGATTATCCAAGGACGTTTCTAAGAAAGAGTTCGCCGGAACTGATGCCGAGACACTCCACCACTTTAGGACCTGCTACCTGACCGGCGCAGTCAACATCTTCCAAAGCCTGGGCCAAACGCCCAAGGACGTAGCCAAGTTCAGAACACATGTGAATTACGGCCTGTTCACAAGCACAATAACTATAATGATAACTATAACCATAAACTTTTAAAGGGCACCTATTATGCCCCTTTTTACAAGATGTAATATTGGTCTCGGGTGTCCCCAGAATGTATTTGTGAAGTTTCAGCTCAAAATACCCCATAGTTAATTTATTATAACTAGGGCTGGGTAATAAATATCGATTTCTTGATAGTAATCGATTCTCATTTTTACGAACCAATATCGATTATTAAATCTCAAGAATCGATTAATCATCCTGTTTCATTTGAATTAATGGATCATTGTATCGCGGCTGCGCGCATCCAAAAAAACGCAATAATCTTTGTCCTTTGTTACTATTGATATGAAACAAAGTCTCAATTTTCAAATTACGTCCATTTTCTTTAGAAATTCAAAAACATAAATAGCGTTTAGGCGCTGTGGCGTGAGATTGCTCTAGCAGCAGCGCTGATCTCTCTTCCGGGTTAATAATACCAGTTACAGCAAGAAATAAACATGAATGAGCATCTGAAAGTGTCTTAAAAGATGGAGTACAACTTATTGAAATCCGTATCATGTCACATTGATTCACTCAATCAGCGTTTCAACTGTGGAAAGACGTCAGTTAAACAGCTTGTAATCAATGTCATGTATCGTCATATTTACCTTAGAAAACCCACATAAACTTGTTAGTCAGCTAAAAAAAATAACTAAGAGGTTAAGAGGAGCATTTTGCTAAATATATACACCATATTACATATGCATTATAATCTTAATGTTCTTCAATATTTAATGCAAATTTGAATAAATCTGGCAAGTTTTTATGACAGCCACCATTTTAATGTTTATATATATATATAATGAAGCCTAGTAGGCTACAACTAGACTCTCATAGTTTACAACATTAGTTAAGAGATTTGATTTCCTTGAGAAAATTTGCCATTTATTGTAACTGATATCCAAAATAATCAATATTGAATTGAATCGAAATCGAATCGAATTGCAAGCTTGTGAATCGAAATCAAATCGAATTGTGAAATTTGTGTCAATACCCAGCCCTAATTATGACCATTTGAAAATGTCATTTTGGGGCCTGTTTAAAAATTAGCTGTTTTGGTGTATACCACCTTAAATGCAAATGAGCTGCATATCCCCGCCCTGCCTTTGGATGAGGGCGTAACTTGATACCTATGGCAGTCGGTACTGAGAGAGTGAGAGAAACCGCTGTTTTGAATGTCATTCAGCCTACGTTTGAATCGGAATATATAAATAGCACGAAGAGACTCCGGCAGATTAAACACAAATGAGAATGGACCAGTACGTCTCGGTATGGTTATTTGATACATTTATGTACTTATAGAGTTGTTGTTCGCGTCCCATTTGCAATTATGGATGTGGAACACACACACATACACACACACAGACACACACAAACACTAATGCTGGCGCAATTTTTTGAAACTAACACACTGTGATAAAGTTTGCTACGTACAAGCGAAATTACAGTTATGCGAGGGACATGTAGCGTCATGTTTAGCTTGTCATACAGGTGCTTCTGTGGCAAATGTGAGGAGATGGCTAACTTACAGGACAACATCATATATGCAGTTTTTAATACAATATCTTTAAAAATATAAACGTGTGGTTACACACTATACAAACAAGGTTTAAATTATATAGCCTACACAGACATCCTACGACGACAACAACTTTAGACGCATTTGTTGTTGAATTGGCTGACATTGACTGATAAGACTATTTGTATTTGCTCAAAAATCATATACACTTACTGTTACTGGAGGTGACGGTGGATCGCAAACAGTAGACGACGATCCACAGTTGAGGATTAACTTTTAAGCCACAACAACAGGATTAATCCACGACAGAACTTTATGTTTCCAAGAGACATTACCGGCTGTCGTTGAAACAATGGAGGATGGTGTACAGATCACCGAGGGCGGGGTCTAGGCCACAACCACACTGTCAATCAAACCCCTGTCTCCCGTTCTACGTCACAAAGAGCTGAATCTTAGAACAGAATCTTAGATTTATTGAGATTGAAAAAAAAAAAAACACTGGGTGGATTTTTATCATAGAGGGTGATTTTGCTCACACACTGCCAACATACATTTATGTTCAAACACCATGTAAAAGTGAATTTTCCATAATACGTTATTACTGTATATATAAATATATGACTTACCTCAACCCCGTCCCTAAATCTACCCGTCACTGGGGTAAATAGCATTCATGAGTCTTCCCCTACCATCCTAGGGAAAAAAAAGATCACTCCCCAGATGTAGATGTACAGTTTGCTTTGTTTCGCTCGGACATTTAGAGGCGTGTACAGACACGCAGAATCACTCGGATGTTAATGGCGTAGACAAACATACACGCGGATAGCTGAAAATGCGTATAGATAACACGCCACTTGACTTGAAATTGGCGTGTATGTTTACGCAAAAGTCATGATGTCATGTTGCACGCTGAAAGGCAGTCTGGATACCATGGCCAGATTTTTGCTTCATTAGGGAACCAATCACAGAACGGGGAGGGAGCAGCAAGACAATGACGACATCTATGCGACACACCAAAGCAGTTTGTTTATATCTTCAACATGGCAGCAGACGCGAAGCTACCTTTTGATGCAGCCTTATATTGTTCTAAGAGTTTAGAATGCAAGTTTATTTAGAAAAAAAGAGCAGCTTTTGGTGTTAAACTTCACGAAACCCCAGTCGTTATTGTTGTCTCGCCATTAATCGTCCTAATGGAGGACCAGAACAGGAGGCGGTCAACCTTGGAATATCTGCCGCTCAGCTGTGTCCCGAGAAAGAAAATGCGATAAAGAATTGTCGATACCAACTTCTGTTCGGCAGTCCCGAGGCCTGGATGAGCGCAAAGTGGCAAGACAGTTAGTACCAACCTGCTGGGTATTGTCGTTGACGAAGTCCATTTAACTTGTAAATGGCAAGTGGCTGTATGCCTGTAGACTACCTACTGTGGTTGTCACAGTGCCACTAAGTTGTGTTGCTTTTCAATATCAATATACAGCAGCTACCGCTTTAGTAGCATAACTTTCAGCACACGTACCCGATTAAAGTTGTTGACAGTTTAGTCATTAAATTAAATTTTAATTTTTTTTAACTTGTGAAGTACAAGAGCAAACAATTTCCAATGCAAATAACAACTTCAACATAGATGTTAAACTGTACTTAATACTTGTGTTCTTCTAATTGAAACGATTGGCTATGAGCTACGTACAGGCGCATTTGATAGACACTCTTATCACCCAATAAACGGCACCGGGCATTCGTAAACCACGCCTCAAATACGAGAAATTGTGCATGTGGTTCCCAGACCCAAGTCTCAACGAGAATTGGGTCTGGCGTTAGCCAGGCTAATAATTGTTATTTATTAATGTAAATATTCCAGAAATAAAAGTTAAACCTAAAACTAATAGCAAAGTTACAATATAAAGCAAAGTCTAAATCAAAGGTACAATCGGCGTCGAGAGATGCGTCGGCGTCGGTGTCTTCTCTTCAGTCTTTTATACTCAAACAGTTCACTGCCGAACTAAGTCAGACTCTCTTCTGCTGTCATCATGTGGAGAGGTACCAAATCTTCCATGACCCTCATAAGGTGTTTCCGTTGTAGCCTGCCAGCTCTCTTCTTGGCCCTTTTTCTAAGGCCCTTAATAAGTATACATGCATATTATCATAGCAATTAGTGTTGCTTTTTTTTATACACTTTTCCAAATACATTTTATGCAGCATTTCTACTTGGGTTACATAGAGATACTACTAAACAAAACAAAAGTTAAACAAGACAGCCAGAGTAATTGCATAATCACCGTCTTCATCAACAGTAAAAATCTCTGACAGTTAGTGCAGCAATAGATTCCAGAAGAGGCATTTTCTCTTATCCTTATGAATGTAGGCAGTTGTGCAGTTGTAGTAATCAAGCGTTTGAGCACTGTGCTGAAGTTAAAATTAGGTGATAAAAGGAGATAAAATATAAAAAACATATTAAAAAATATAAAAGCGAGGAGCAAGCAAGAGCGTCCAAACAGTAAGTTCAGAGGATTGAACTATTATTCAGTCTGGAAAAATTCTTCACTAAAGGCCTGTTCTCACCGGGACGAATTTCGTGTGCGATATTCGCCGACGTTTAACGCCTCATGACTAAACAAAGAGAGCCAATGTAAGTGTGCACACTCGACGTGGAAAACACCACACTTAAAAGCGTAATTTTTTTTTAAAAACGCCTCGGGTTCGTTTTTTGGTTTCCAAACCAATGACCAATGAGATTGGCGCTTTTGCTCACGAGTCTGGAGCTTCTGAAGTTACAGTAAAACACAACTTGGGGGCGCTCAAACACAAAACGGTCCTGCCGAGCACACATACGTAATGGCGAAGAAGATATAACTCAAGTGGCATCTACACTACCGAGAAGAAATAAGATGAGGAAGATGCAAGGCAAGATGAATGTAGAGCTGCTGTCTCGCTGGTGTCGGAACATAAAGAACTATAAGACAAACGTGACAAACTTGCTCTCTTCTTCTGAGTGACAAGCAAGTGCACCACTTTGTGGACTGGGGTATTTCTGTTTTACATTAAGCACCATCTAATGTCAGGGAATGAATTTGCATGTTCACTCGGCTCATCGTCAATGAAAATCGCTTGGGTGTGAACACAAAGAACGCGTTAAAAAACGCTGGCGATTAACGCGCGCCGATATTCATCCCAGTGTGTACGGCCCCTAAGACAGTATTTTTCACTCACCCGGTTGTGTGTGTGGGTCACTGTTGTTTCTCTCAGGACGCTGTTTAATGTCACACAGAGACACTGAGTTGTTAAAATCATAAACCCTAAATCCAGCATAGAGGGGTTCAGTGAATGTGTTGTTAAATGTATGAATGTGTGTGAGTGTGTGTGTGTCAGAGACGCTGTAGAAGGACAGAGTGCCGGCCGACGCGTCCACATACACTCCTGCTCTCTTAGAGGGTGAAGGGACGACAGGAATACGGTAAACGTTGTTCTTATGATTGTGACGGACAATGAATCCGTCTTCATTGCAGATCAGACTCCAGGATTTATCATTGTATCCAAACGCACAACTTCCACTCCCTGCTTTCCTGCAGATTCCTTTATATGACATTGATAGTCCAACAGGTTCGGTCCATTCAGCCTCCCAGTAACAGCGTCCAGTCAGACTCTCTCGACACACAACCTGATGATCATCATCAAATCTCTCTGGATGATCAGGATAGGACTGACGCTCTTTCACACGTGTCACTGTCCTGTTCTCCTCAGACAGAATGAGTTCAGTGTGTGCTGTGTTTGGATCCAGTGTGAGATCACAGGCATCTGAACATAAGAAGAGAGAAATATTTCACTAAATGACACAAATCAACAACAAATCACTGAATGAGTGTGTGTGTGGACCTACATTTGTGTAATCCTGCTGTAATCCTGAACTCTCCACAATGATCCACACTGTAACACACAAACATGATTCAGATTCATTTAGTAAAGGAAAGACAAGAAAGCTTTCTTTCTCCTGAAGACTGGAGTAATGATGCTGAAAATTCAGCTTTTTTTCATAATTACATTTTTAAATATATTAAAAGGAAAACTTTCATAATATTTAACAATATTCCTGTTTTATTTTTTTGTTGTTGTTGTTTTTAATCAAATGAATGCAGCCTTGGTGAGCAGAAGAGACTTATTTTAAAAACATTAAAAACCTTATCGATCCATAACTTTTGACTGGTAGTGTAAATAGCAAAACTAAACATTTCATATTTGACGGCTGTAGTTCTCTTTGTTTTCTCCCAGTTTCTTCAGTCTTCTGTTGTCGTGTTTCATTAAGGTTCGTTCTGAGTTTGGTTTAGGTTTTCCTTGTATTAGTAAAGTCTGTTTGAATTGATCTTCTTTGTCTTGCTTTCTGCCTGCACCACGCTTACGAAACGTGACAAATTCAATGACTTAATCATTAAGACATTTACAGCCACCTACTGGCAGTTTTAGTTTCTTATTTAGAGTATAATTTCATTTAAAAAAAAATATTTCCATATTATATAAAAAAAACATTAAAGTTATAGTTCATCCAAAAATGAAATTCCAAAAAATATGTGCAATAAATTCTATGTTGAATCAAATATTTCGTTCTGAAGCTACTTTTTAGTAATGTCTATTTGATGCTTTACACAATGACTTTTGGGGGAAATTTCTCAGCCAAATTTAATGTGAGACTAATTTGCGAATAATTAGATTAATTAATTGCCACATCATGTAGTTAACTGCTTGACAGCCATATTCAATATATTGGTAATTAATACATTCTATGAGAATTTATATTTCAAGTTTTGACAGTAAATGGCACGTCCATAATGCTGGAATTTTTCTACATTGAAATGAGATTAACAGACTTGTGGTCAGATCACCTGAGGCAGATCTTAATACCAGGTGTAAACCGGGCCTTTTAAGCCCCTTTCGTCGATTCCGGGAAATTGCCAGAACGCCGTCTGTGTGAACGCAAACACAACCCGGGATTGATACCGGCATCGATGCCGGGTTGGGGACTTAGTAACATTGCCGGGATCAGTCCCGGAACGCGCGCTGTGTGAACAAAAGCCAGGACCAATTCTGTGAGGGGTGTGTCATGGTGATGACGCTCGTGCCATCGCTCTGTTGCTCTTAGATGAAAGTTTGTGTTCGTTATCAACAAAGAAAGGACGAACAAATGTCTGCAAACTGGAGCGAAGCAGAGACCAGGAGCTCCTCTCTATCCGCGCTGAAGCTGAGATCGTTTACCAGCTTTGTGGAACGGTATGCGCGTGTGCATGTTTTCGACGCGTAAGTTACACGTTTTATCCTGAGGTCATGTGTCTTTCCGGGATATTTACGGGTTGTGTGTGAACGCACTCACAGATCCCGGCAAATCACTGGCGGTGTGAATGAACCTAAATCAAACAATTCCGGGACAAATGCCGGGTCACCATTATCCGTGTATTTTCCGGAATCTCTGTGTGAAAGGGGCTTTATTGTCCCACATACTTGAGTATCTGAAGTGAGCAGTTTGGATCCTTCAATTTCTCAGAGAGCAGCTTAACTCCTGAATCTCCTGGGTGATTGTAGCTCAGATCCAGCTCTCTCAGGTGTGAGGGGTTTGAACTCAGAGCTGAAGACACATAACCACAGCCTTCCTCTGTCACCATACAGCCAGACAACCTACAGACACACACAGTCAGATCATCTAGAAAAACACACACGACTGGCAGACTGTATCTCTTATATGTTCTTTTTTCCATTTCAGAGGAGAAATATATACATTTGTCAAGGCATAAAAGCTTGTTTACAATAAAACAAAAACATATACGTCAATACAGATTACTGGGTTACACAGTATTGTAACCCATCATGTCTGCAAATGGTCATGGAAATTACATACTCAAACTTATACAGATGTTTTGTGTTTTCATCAATTTAACAGCAAATATGTAAAAGAACAAGGGGAGCTATTCCTGTTAATTCTTAAAAAAACAATACCTTACAGAAAATGTATGCTTCAAGAAAAGTCAGAGCGAATTGGTTTTATATAATCAGTCTATTTTTTCCATATTGAACAAATGTATTCTGTCTGGGTTCTTAAGGAAAAGGAAAGCTTTCCCATCACATATATACATAGTGTAATATGTCAATCCAATCATCAACTGTGGGTGGCTCTGGTTTTATCCATTTCTTTGAAATTACTTTTCACTGGCCGCCAGAAGAATTAACATCAGTTTCTACCCATCAAAAGCAATATTAGCCAGATATAAACATTCACAATTAAAAAGAATCGTCACCTCCCAATTTCTTTCATTTCCTTAAACAAACTGGGTTAATTTCTGACACTCCCCAAACATATGATACCCTTTTCACATATAATCTCCAACAGCTAGCACCTGTCCCTTTGTATATTTTCTGTGATGGTGTGATTATCTCTTATATTCTTAACCTCTTTCTCATCACCAGATTATTGTTGAACATTCATTACTCGTTAAAACATCACACTCTTACTTGATCTGGAACAACTGGGCATCATTAGAAAGATTGAAGACTCCAGCTTCGATATTTGACCACTGTTTATAAAGCCAAGTTCACACTACAGGATTTTAAGCCCGATTTATGCTCGATTTGCAAATGGTTGAGCTCGCCGACAGGTCAGGGTGTTATCGCGTGCAAATAGCGGGGGATTAGCGGACGATGAACGCTTGCCAATCTGTTAGTATGAAAGAGCCAACAACGCAGCGAAAACGCTCGCAGACGCGTCGCCGAGCCCAGAAAAATATCTAGCCTGCTAGATATCCACAGCCGTCGCGCGACTCAAACTCAGTGATGTCATGAGTACAGCCAATCATAGAAACGCATGGGTTGAGGACACATATTTTTTTGCATTTTTTTCTCAGAGCAGATCGTTGCGCAAACAGTGTGCAGCAACAGTGTTTCTGTCTGACGTCCATATTCACGTGTTGTGTTCTCTTCGCTGGGTATAGATGCACGTGCTGTTTCGCGTCATTTCTGGTTCGTTTTATTGCTGCATTAGTTTAATGATAATCGATAACAAATTAACGTGATCGACGACATTCTTAATGATCAATAATCGATCATCGATTAATCACGCCCATCCCTAGTTCAGCCACCATTTAAATGTTTATATGTCATATAATCTTTTTATTATAAAAATAAATAAAAGTGTAATTTAAGTGCTTGTGTAGCTACAAAACAGTTCAAGATTACCTTCATATTAGGCTAATGAAGCCTAGTAGGCTACAACTAGACTCCCTTAGTTTACAGCATTAGTTAAGAGATTTCATTTCCTTGAGAAAATTTATTGTAACTGATATCCAAAATAATCGATATTGAATCGAATCGTAATCGAAATCGAATCGCAAGCTTGTGAATCGAAATCGAATCGAATTGTGAAATTTGTGTCAATACCCAGCCCTATTAAATACCTTAGAATCTGCAGCTGACAGTTTGGCCTCTTCAGTCCTTCAGAAAGGATCTTCACTCCTGAATCCCTCAGGTCGTTGTTACTCAGATCCAGGTCTCTCAGGCATGATGGGTTTGAACTCAGAGCTGAAGACATATAACCACAGCCTTCCTCTGTCACCATACAGAGAGACAACCTACAGACACACACAGTCAGACCATCTACAAACACCATTGACATCATGACCGACAGACTTTAAATTATCTCTTATATGTTCTTAATACTTTAGCATGTGCAGCTGACAGTTTGGCCTCTTCAGTCCTTCAGAAAGGATCTTCACTCCTGAATCCCGCAGTTCATTGTTACTCAGATCCAGCTCTCTCAGGTGTGAGGGGTTTGAACTCAGAGCTGAAGACACATAACCACAGCCTTCCTCTGTCACCATACAGCCAGACAACCTACAGACACACAGTCAGATCATCTAGAAAAACACACTTTGACATCATGACCGACAGACTGTAAATAATATCTCACATGTTCTTAAATACCTCAGTATCTGCAGCTGACAGTTTGGGCTTCTCAGTCCATCAGAAATAATCTTCACTCCTGAATCCTGCAGCGGATTGTTACTCAGGTCGAGCTCTCTCAGGACACAAATTGAGGATTGTAGAGTTGATGACACAATTTCATAATCCTGATCAGTGAGATCAGAGCCAACAAGACTAGAAGAGAGTAAATATTCCACAATAAGTTGGGGTTCAGGGAGCTTTTTTAAAAAGGGGCAGCAGTAGTGCCTTAAAAATAGAAAAAAATAGATGGATAAATAATTGGCAATACAAAGATGAAATAAAGTCAAATATTGTGAAATATGTGGTCTATCAAGTTAGTTAGCGTCTATCAAGCAACAAACGTCAGCTTGTTTCGCGCATTTGTTATGGAATGGAGCACAATTATTCTTTAGCGATTGCACCTGGTTCTGTCGACAAAGACAAGTCTCATTAACGCAAACGTCAGCGAACGGGTCAACCAAACGACCCAAGAAGAATTTGGGACAAGAGAAATAAAACCAGCTCAACATCGGTGTGGCATTTCCTAAATGGAGAGAACTTCGTGAAAAACTCTAACTAGACAGAGACGCCGATCTTGCATGTGTTTTACTTGACAGGTGAGTAACACCGTGTTCTGTATTCAAATTTCATGTCAGTAAACCATGCAAAACAATTCGTATTAATGTTAGAATCTCTTGTTGTCTATGCATATGATGTGAAAAATCGTAAGGTCATATTCACCGCGAATACTTCTCAGAATGTGAACTGTTGGCTGTATCTTAGAAAACGACGTTTATCTGAAAAGTGTTTCAACCGTCCCGGCTCTCCCTAACATCTGTGATAATAACTAATTTACTTTTAAACCTTACTTTTCTTGCGGTTATTTCAGTTTAATGAAAAACAAGCATGTCACGAGACATACATTGCTTGAATAACAATTAAAAGAACATCCCCATCAGTTCTCTTAACTCAAATAAGCATGACAACATTTGTGACTATCATGTCCGGTTTTGCTGCAGTTAAATAAGCCGAGAGTGAAGCGGAATTAGCTAGTAATAATTATGTTACGTTGTTAGAGTGTAGTTGACTGACTGTCCTTTTAACTTTTGACAATGTGACTGAAGTATTTCTTTAATAGCGCGTGACAGCTATAGCAATGAGACCTATCATCTCTCCACGGCCTGTTATATTGAAAATGTATGTTTTACAATTTGCAGTATGACGTTATCCATTGCTAAATTATGGCTCATCATAGACTATCCAACCACAAAGCTAGCTAATGCCACTATCATCAGTCTGTTCTGTTGTGACAAAAGAAAAAAAGTTTATTTTTAAAATGCATGATCATATTACATCGGTATCAGCCTTCAAAATCCTTTATCGGTCGGGCTCTACTTTTAACACTTTTAAATTTCAGTTTCTGTGCGATTGAAGAACAATGATAGTGCTCTTGTTGTGATATAACAGTAGAAACGAACATGATTAAGGTACAGCAAGATAAAGTAACTTCATGCGAAACCATAGAGCTTTATCTACAGATCAAGTATAATAATATTAATATTGAATTATCTTAGAGAGTTTCATCGTTGACTGTCGTAACCAAACACGACGCACTGTTTAAACACTGAATGGAGAATGACTGACAGCCGCAGCGGAGGAAACTATTTGAAACTAACATGCTTTTGCAACAGGACACGGCATGCGCTGCGCTATGAGACACATTCATTTCAATGGCTTGTGCTGTGCAAGGACGTTTTGAAAGTGCAAGCAGATCTAGCTAGACCGGAAACAAAACAACAGGCACGATGCCGCACACACTCGTTTGGACTTGGAACTCGGATACGTAACGTTTTGAGTGGATGACGAGCGCGAGACGCAGAAATGGATGCCAATAAGATTCTGAATGGAAAGTTTACTTTAAAAAGTTGCCAAATGGTTCCAATGATAAGACCAAAGTGATCTGTGTGTTTTGTCGTTGTAAATTGAGCGATCATCATCACAGCACGTCCAGTCTGAAATACCGCTTGATGGTCAAGCACACAACACACACATACACACACACACACAGCTGATGCGAATTCTGTGTCTACACCTCTAGGGAACTGAGTTTGGCAGCACTAGTGTAAGTGAAGCTCCAGGGATATATTACAACAATATAAACTCCATGTCATGACCCCTGTAAAGATGTAAGATGTGTTATTAAAGGGTTAGTTCACCCAAAAATGAAAATTCTGTCAGTATTTACTCCCCGTAACCCCGTAAGACCTTCGTTCATCTTCGCAACACAAATTAAGATATTTAAGATATTAAGATCACTCCTGCATACTAGTCCATAGGCTTCTTGAGGGAATGACTTGCTGTCCTCGAAAAGTCATTAAAGACATCGATAAAATAGTCCAAGTGACTACAGGGGCTCAATCTTAGGTTTATCAAACAACGAGAACACTATTTGTGCGCAAAAAAACAACAAAATAACGACTTTATTTAAACTATTCGTTTATTTCTCCCTCTGCGCGAGTCAGGTTACTAGTTTAATAGCGTAAGCTTCTGTTATTGTACGTCACACGCATCACACACATGACCAGTGTCGGCCAATAGTGAGCCTACGTGTGAGGTAGCTTTACGCGATCACACTACGTTAACTGACTACAGGCCCATGGAGAAGGAAGTGAATAGTTGGAATAAAGTTGTTATTTTTGTTTGTTTTTGCGCACAAAAAGTATTCTCGTCGTTTGATAAAGTTAAAATTGAGCCACTGTAGTCACTTGGACTATTTTAACGATGTCTTTAATGACTTTTCGATGCCAGCAAGAGTCATTCCCTCAAGAAGCCTATGGACTAGTATGCAGGAGCGATCTTAATATCTTAAATATCTTAATTTGTGTTCCGAAGATAAACGAAGGTCTTACGGGGTTGGAACAACATGAGGGTGAGTAAATACTGACAGAATTTTCATTTTTGGGTGAACTAACCCTTTAAAAGATTATTCAACAATTAATGATGAAACACTCACATGGCTCTCCTGCAGTTGACCACAGCTGGCATCAGTCTTCTTTTACAGTCAGCTGACATGAGGTATTTCATGAGGTTCAGCTCATCCAGCGGCTCCTCTGAGATCTGAATCATGTAGGACATTATTGCCCAATGAGAATATGAGAGAATCTTAGTTGAGTGTTTGCCTGATTTCACAAACTCCTGAATCTCTCTGGACAGAGTCTGATCTTTCAATTCCAGCAGACAGAAGAACAGATTGATGGACTGATCATCTGCGAGATGAAGACCTAAAGTATTGATCATGTCTTTAATCTGCTGTGTGGTTCTCCTGATGACCTCTGAGCTGTTCTCAGTGTGTGTCAGTAGATCCTGTAAGAGTCTCTGATTGGACTCCAGTGAGACGCCCAGCAGAAACTGCAGGAACAGATCCAGCCATGCATTCTCTCTCCTGATGACTATATTAACTGCTAATGTTAGTAGATTATACAGAGGGTCTTCATCAGGTGTGTGCGGCCAATGTACATAATAACGGCCAGCCATAAGGTTATGTTTATATTTTGCGTTCAGAAGCTGCAGTGGTCCATTGTTCTTCATTAAATAGCAGTAAAACACATAGAAAGCAGCGAGAAACTCCTGAAAGCTAAGATGAATGAAGCTGTACACTTTCCTCTGATGAATCACAGATTCCTCCTTAAAGATCCCAGAATGCACTGAGGCGTCAGTGACGTCTATGCCGCTCTCAATCAGGTCCTCCTCGTAGAACATCACATTGCCCTTCATCAGCTGATGGAAAGCCACTTCAGCAAGTTTCACGATCACTTCTCTGTTGGACTGCAGGAGTTTCTCTGGATCTCTCTCTTCATACTTCTGATTCCTCATGTGGATCTGAATCATCAGGAAGTGGATGTACATTTCAGTCAGAGTTTGAGGGATTTCTGCACTCAGACCTTCTTCCAGGAGCTTCTGAAGCACAGTGGAGGAGATCCAGCAGAAGACGGGTATGTGGCACATGATGTGGAGGCTTCTTGCTGTTTTGATATGTGAGATGATTCTGCTGGCTTGATGCTCATCACTGATTCTCTTCCTGAAATATTCCTCCTTCTGAGGATCATTGAATCCCTGAATCTCTGTCAGACGGTTGATGTATTTGGAGGGGATCTGATTGGCTGTCGCTGGTCTGGAGGTGATCCAGATGAGAGCCGAGGGAAGCAGATCTCCTTTCATGAGGTTTGACATCAACACACCCACTGATGAAGTCTCAGTCACATCAGAAACTTTCTGAGCGTCTGAAAACATCAGTGTGATTCTGCTTTCATCCAGACCATCAAAGATGAACACAACTCTACACTCCTCATACATCTTTGAGTCCAGATCTTGAAGTTCAGGATGAAAGTCCAGCAGAAGTGTGTGAAGACTGTACTGATGATCTCGGATCAAGTTCAGCTCTCGAAATGGAAGCACAAACATGAAATCTACATCCTGATGGTCTTTCCCCTCGGCCCAGTCCAGAATGAACTTCTGCACAGAGACGGTTTTCCCGATTCCAGCGATGCCTTTAGTAAGAACAGTCTTGATTTGGTCTTTCTCCTGGTGTCCTGGTTCAGGAGAGGCTTTAAAGATGCCATTGCAGTGGACTGGAGTGTCTTGTAAGTGTTGTGTTCGGGCTGATTTCTCCATCTGTAAAACCTCATGTTCTCCATTCACTCCTCCTCTCTCTCCCTTTATGATGTAGATCCTGTTCAGGGGGGTTTCATTCTCTTGGAGATTCAGTCCCTCAAATATTCTCTCATACTTGATCTTCATGCTGGTTTTGTGTCTGTGTTTGACTCTCTGTAGTTCCTCATTCACTGGCTGAGGAGAATCCTGATCTCCAGTCTGATGATCTCTGAATGGTGACAAAATACAAACATAAAACATGTTTTTGAATAAAACATCCAAGGAACAGCAACACATTTATGACGGTTGTCAGTTTAACAGATTTTCCTTGTATACAACATACAATAAAGTACGACATATCGTCAGGACTATATTTTTTAATTTTGAGGTTTCTTAGTTTCCTGTTCTAGTTGGGGATAAAAATAGATTTTTTTTTAAAATAAATTACATTATAATTTATTTATTTTTTCAATTATTTTTTGTTAACACTAGTTTAAAAATACAACTGATCATTGTTAGTTCACATTAGCTCAGGTCTAATAATACAGTTACAACTTTTGATTTTAATAATGTATTAATTAGTAAATGTTGAAATTAACATGAACTAAGATTAATAAATGCTTTAAAAGTATTGTTCATTGCCCATTTATTTTAACTAATGAATTCTTATTGTAAAGTGTGACTGAATAATAATAAAGAATCTGAACAATTTCAATCAATATTTAGGGCATGTTTTATGTCAGATAAAAATGTTTAAGTTTGAAAATAAATATCGAATTAAATCTTTAAGCATTTAAGTATTTGGTGCTGTGATGAACACTATTAGGTGGGCCGGATCCCGAAATTGTGAATTTCACTGATCCCTGCCAAGAAACTAAGGGATTTGTCTACAGATGGCATGTAAAAATTCTTATAATAGTGTAAGCTTTGTTTCCAACGTTGATGACTCGATTTAAACTTGACTGAAGACTGATTTAAACTCGTACATTTTTAAATTAATGGGAAAATGAAAAAAAGACTTGTTTTTCATTTTGTTTGTCAAAAAAAGAAAAGCAAACCCATTATAAATCTGGAGTAGGGATGGGCAACGATTAATCGCGATTAATCGCATCCAAAATAAAAGTTTGTGTTTACATAATATGTGTGTGTGTAGTGTGTATAATTCATTTGTATATATAAATACACACACATGCATGTATATATTTAAGAAATATTTGCATGTATATACTTTATATATATTTACACATAATTATCATTATATATAAATAGCTGATATATTAATAACACATTTTTCTTAAATATACACATACACGTGTAGGTATTTATATATACAAATTAATTATACACACTACACACACATATATTATGTAAAAACAAACTTTTATTTTGGATGCGATTAATCACGATTAATTGTTGCCCATCCCTAATCTGAAGCCCTAGAGCTTAAATAAATAGCAACAAACACACAAATGCATGTGACTGCAACAGAGAGCATTTTTACAGAAATTGGCCAATAAAATAAACAAAACTGGCATAAATTAAAAAAATACATTTAAATCAAGGTCTGGTCCTAGAGCATAAAAAGTGGAACAAACGTTCTATCTCATACACAAACAAACACAAACACACACGTATGTGACTACAACAGAGAGCATTTTTATAGAAATTGGCAAAAAAAAAAAAATCCAACTACTGATCCAAATATCAACTAAACTGGCAAAAATGTGAAAAATTTCACAAATGCAACATGGAACAAGTATGTTCCCTCACTCTCACAAACACACACAGAGTGAGAGAGAGAGAGAGAGAGAGAGAGAGAGAGAGAGGAAAAATGTGACTTGTAATCAGGGACGTTGGAACTATTTTGTGAGAGGGGGGGGCGGAATTCCCGGTGTGGGGGGGGGGGGGGGGATTACGCACCGTTTTAAAATATTGGTATTAAATCCATTTTCTGAGAATTTATCAGTCAACTTGTTGATTAAAATCATTGATTAAAATTAAATACAATTTATAAAAACGAAATTCTTTTAAAAAACATAATAAGTCAGAAGTACTAGCCGCGTTTCCACTGCCGGGCTAGGGCTGGGCCAGAGCTAACAGCGAGCCGAGCCGAGCTAGTGGCCTCGGGCCTCAAGCACCGGGCTTGCATTTCCACTGCCGGGCCAGTAGCCCCACAGCGCTGCCCCAGACCCCACCCCTAACACGCCTTTCTGGATCAAACGTCATAAAACCCAACCCATTTCAGCGGGTATTATGAATTAATTTATTTTTTAAATTAGGAAGATAGCATGTATATTAACTCACCTGCCGTAGTGGCTGCAATTTGTCCCGAGACCAGTACAGGCAATTCTCCATTTCAAGCAGCGATTTTTTGCGCGATATAACAGGCTGCGGGCACGTTTTCAAGTGTGCGCGCCGCAACCTCGAGATACAGAGTTAATTTTTTAACACCTTTAATAACTGATTGGACCCCATTTGAAACGAAATTAATTTATAGAAATAAAACGCAGCAAGTACGGAGCAGTTAAAGCCGCATTTCCATCACCCTTCAAACTGAATTGAAAATAAGCAAAACGTCCATTTCACAAAAACTCCGTGTCTGTAAATAATAATAATAATAATAATAATAATAACCATCATCATCATTATTGTAACATTTTATTAGGCTGCATATGTAGAAGACGCCTTTATCCAAAAAAGGAACAGAACACAAATAAACACAATATTTTTGACGCATATCAGCGCATATCCAGTGTGTGTGGAGCACGCGTGCTGATGGCTGCGAGACGCCCATGTGAACACTTGCAGTTTCATTGCATTTCTTTCAGTGGAAACAACTTAAAATACTCTTTCATTTCTGGTCATACAGAAAATAATAATACATTATTCGCAAATACATTTATTTGCGTAAACTCACAATAACAAGAAAACGTTGTGCTTTAACAATTAATCAAGGCGCTCATGATCTCCGTGAACTGAAGCGCGAGACCTGAAACAGCCACCGCATTCGAATTTGTTCGTTTTAAATTGGACATTTAAAGCTTTAGTCTTGTAGATCTTGAAGTCTTGAAGCTTTAAATGTCCAATTTAAAACGAACAAATTCGAATCGAAAGCCAATATCTTCTGTAATTATGTAGCTAATTAATTTCTCTCTAAATGTGCATCCGGAGATGGAGATATGTTTTTAGCCGAAAATCATTTAGAAAACAATAGTTTATTAATAAACAATTAATTCCTCGTTATTTTATATTATTTTATTATCAGACACATTTATTATAGTCTATAAATCACCTATAAATCCCCTTTCTGTAGGCTGGTGTTACGGCTCTTCTCATTCAGCACTGCAGGGAAAATATCATTTCCAGGTTCTAATTTGGCCTCAGAAAACCAGTAAAATATATATTTTTTTCATATTAATTAGTCAAATATTTTAAATGTTTAAGGGGCAAAAAATCAAACAAATATCTGAAAATTTGTCGATATGTAGCCTATATATAGCCTATATATTTTTGCGCAGCATTTGGCATAGGCCTACAGTTCAAATTAAAATGTTATGCAATTTTAAATCGGTTAAACATGGACACCCCTATGTGCATCTTGCTTCAGATCATAACGTTCCATAACACCGATAAACTCCGCCTTTTACCTTGAGCACGCCTCTAGCCCGAGCTGGCCCCCTCTGGCCCAAGGTATTCGACGGGCCAGAAATCCTGGCCGTTGGCCCTGAGGAAGCCCCGATCAAGCCCCGGAAGTGACAGTGGAAACGCGACTGGCCCTGGCACGCACTAGCACGGCCCGGCCCTGGCCCGGCAGTGGAAACGCGGCTACTGTGGGCTATGTCTGACTCATTCCATGTTTTCCGATATGGTGACTATTGATGGACCGCTCCTTGATCCATCAGTGCTTGAGTCACCATATATCGGAAAATAAAAAGTTTTAAACATGAATAAAACATATCCTGTTAAGCAGAGCATTAATTTAGTTCGTTTAAATAAGAGATCTAGCGCTAAAATGTTTTGTTTTTGAAATCAAGAGGAACGCTTGTTGCCGCTGCTGTCAGTTGTAGGCTATGTTCTCTGTGGCGCGCAGTCTTCACTCGGACGCGCACTTTAATCGCCTTTACGTCGGAGACTCTATTCATTCCGGTAAAATCACAAAATAAATGTGTCCTATGCTTGATATTGACTGTAACCACAGATGGACATATTCTGTTTTGATGAGAGAGAAAAAAAACTGTCCCAAGGCAAGGCCGGATTAGAACCCGTAACCTCTGGCACTCTGGACAAAAGAGCTACCACTAGACCATTCAAACGGTCAAATGAAATCTGGTGGATCGATTTATTTATGTATGGGTTGAATAGAAAGGCTGCACAGTTTGACAAGTTTGTACCCAGCACTTCCGAACGTGTCTCTGTGCCCAGCAAATTTCAAACTGACGCCCGTGCTTAGGTGAATTTAGGGGGCGGCCGGGGGAGGTCGCCCCCGTCTATGCTTGTAATGTTGTGAATTGTAATGTAATGTACACTGTAGCCAAAACAACAGAGAAGTTACGTCCTTTCGGAGATGAAAAAAAAAGTCAGTTTATTATTTCCTGTCTGGCAGCAGAGCTGACTTGAGCCCGAGTTCAGAGTGGCGGTCAGTTCACATCCGGGTCTTCGGCACCGGTTCAAATAATGACGTGATTGGCCAACTCAAGTTGACAAGGTAACAACATGAGCTTTGATTGGTTCTTACTCCGGCTAACATTTTGTGGTTAGCTAGCGAGATTATATCTACATTATATCTATTTTTAATGTGCAACAATTGACGTTGGAAACAAGCAGTAATGTGTTCAAAAACAATTTATATAGCCAGTTATAGTGTTGTACCAATACCAGTAAAAATCCACAGTTCTCAGTAGCAAAGCTTAATTTAGATTAAATTTACACATATTAAAGTGTGTATCATGGAAACTGTAGTATTAAAAACACTTTACAATAAGATTAGATAAAATGACCTGACTGTAGCAATTACTACCTAATTGTAGCAAAATATACTATTACATTTTTAAAATCAAAAGTTTTATCTGTTAACATTTAATGCACAATGAATGAAGTGAACAAACATGAACGATCAAGTGTTTGTATTAAATAACATTCACAAACATTAATTCATGTTGTAAATCGTTCACTCAATGTGTTGCTGTTAGATTAATGTTAATCAATGTTACAATCTTACTGTCCAAAATTGTGTTCATTCATATTTAATTTTAAAAGGGTTAAACCCTTGTTAAACCTGCTAAGAGTAATCCAGCCAAGAATAAGCCTAGAACTGCTTTTCTGACAGACTGATATTAATGACATAAACAGGGGGTGCACCGATACTGATTCCAGTACTCTGGTGTCGGTCCGATACTCTGCTCATGGACTCGTAAAACTTCCCCAATACAAAAAAGCGCTTGCTCTCCCATGGCATCTGTCGTTGCTATGCAACCATGAACAGATGCACGCCTGAAAAAATATTGCGAATTTGCATGTGAACGGCCCATTATGGCAGCGTTACATTAGCCTAATCCAAATATTTCCGTATGTGGCTCTTTCCTCCTTTCATGTCATCAAGTGGATTAAGATCCACCGAATTAACGTTAGCAGCGCCACCGGTCGCCATGCCTCAGTGTGTTTTTGTGAAGATGACGCAACTGTGAACCTTTCGGGCAGCGCATCAAGAACCAGATTAATCCGGTACTACAGTTCGGTACCATCGGTACTTAAGAAAAGCTGGTACCCTACCGGTTCATTTTTTTTAGTACCGACTTGGTACCGAAGTACCGAGAATTTTGACAAGACTAGCCAGTACATATTTGTCCTACATTTCATTAGAATTATATAAGCAAACATTGACATTGTCTTTATTTTATTATAAATAAATATCTCACACCAGGTTCACTAGAGCAGTTAAATCACCAAACACACGTTTATCCTCACCTGAGGTCAGAGGTCACTGGTTCATCACTGGGGTCAGAGGTTACCGCTTCATCACTGGGGTCAGAGGTCACCGCTTTGTCACTGGGGTCAGAGGTCACTGGTTCATCAATGGGGTCAGAGGTCACTGGTTTGTCACTGGGGTCAGAGGTCACCGCTTCGTCACTGGGGTCAGAGGTCACCACTTCATCACTGGGGTCAGATGTCACTGCTTCATCACTGGGGTCAGAAGTCAGTGCTTTATCACTGGGGTCAGAGGTCACTGCTTCATCACTGAGTTTAGGAGGCTTCTCCATGGATGTGTCAGTCTTCAGAGACACACCGCTGGGATCTGGAGATGAAGATCTCTCTCTGCTCTCTGTGTTCCCCATAATGAGAAACTGACTTCAGATCTGCACCTGGAAACACTGAGAAAAAAAATCATACATAACATTTAGACTATTCCAGTAAGTATAGTAAATTCAAATCCCTATGCTACACACACAATGACTTTCTAGAGATTTATGTGCTTCCAACTGTGTAGTTGCAGCAGTTTGTGGATCAAGTCCATAAAGTACTGGTTCACTGTGGAAGAACTGGTCTGACTGCACAAAGCCCTGATCTGAACCTCTGAGATGAACTGGATCAGTGATTCAGAGCCCATTAGAAGTCATATTTTTAAACTGTATTTTCATTGTTAAATAGTCTGTTGTGCGACAAGGAGAAAACTGTGATTTTTGACACATATAAAGAGGTTGAAAAGTATGGAAAAAAATCTTAATAGAAAGAGAGTAAAAAGTTTTTAAACTGGTTTTATTGTTAGTTTGACAAAGTAAGAGGAATTTGTCCAAAATTATATGTTTTTTTTATATGACCAAAGAACATAAGTGCCCATAGTCACTATGAATCACAACAACCCAGATGTTAGTCATCATGATGTTTCCAACACTGACAAATTGTGAAATGATTTAAAGGTCTGTAGGGTCCAATGTAATCCATTGTATTGTTTTACGAAATTGTTAATTCATTATTATTATTATTATTATTATTAGGAAATTTCACATAGGTGAAATAAAAACAATAAATCGGACATACTTTATCATATTATTTACTGTGGCTTATTCTTTTAAATATACCAATCCAGACACTTAAACTGGAGAGTACGTTATAGATTTTCTATAGTGATCAAAAATACATCAGTTTATCTCACAGTTTATCTCACGATGTTCTCGCTGATCATCTGTGAATCGATGAATGGCCTACAACCGGAAGTGTTCAGTATTTATGTTTACTTTACACCTCTGTATCCCTTGAGCTCGATATTATTATAATCCTGAAGATGTACTAGTTCACTTTTACATGCGTCACAACTCCATAAAATGTATATGAAAATAATTGAAGATCGAGTTTAATATGATAGCGACGCGAAAACATTGTACAATAATATGACATGATATCAGAAGCAGATAAATGCTTACCGTGATGTCTGTTTCAAGACTTTCCTAATGATCTTCTTCACGTTCCGTTACTTTCCGTTTCTGTGAATGCGGATGCGCAGAGGGCTCAGATATCAACGATAAACACCGCCCATTCCCAGAATCCAAGCAAAACGCGCGTGTCCTGCTTCCGCTTACCGCGTGCAGTGTGAAACCGGCGTCAGACTCTCCTAAACAGGCGTAATGGGGCAGATGAACTTCCTCCAGTTTCCCTGAGATCACCGTCACGTCCATCACTGGACCGATTCGGTGTTCTGTACCGCAGCCTCTCCAGCTCTGCGTTGAGGAAGAGTCCGTCTACGGTCCGTACTGAAGGCTGATGACACAGGCACAGACCCATTCTTCACTGAGAAATATCTGTGCTTCAGCATTATTATACAACACATCATATTTCTTTTATCAGGATGACAAATAAAGGACACAGAAATAGAGCTAGTGACACAGAAGTGGCTCTACTTACGTAACATCCTATTGTCATACTGGGGAATTTGAGTTCAAAATAAATATATGAAATATTAGTTTTTGTGCATTATCCCATGACAATCTTATTTTGCAGCACATTATTAAGAATGTCTATCATTCAGAATTTTTCTGTCATGTATTTTGTGTGGTTGTTCTACCCGTACCTGGGTGACGTCATGAACAGTCGAGTTAAAGGATTAGTTCACTTTTCAAAAAAATTTTGCTGATAATTTACTCGCCCCCATGTCATCCAAGATGTCCATGTCTTTCTCTCTTCAGTCGAAAAGAAATTAAGGTTTTTGATGAAAACATTCCAGGATTTTTCTCCATATAATGGACTTCAGTGGGAACCAAACGGTTCAAGGTCCAAATGAAACTTTCTGTACAAACTGCAAACTTGTTCAAAGGGCTTTAAACGATTCCAGAAGGTAAATAGTAAGGGTCTTATCAAGCGAAACGATCGCTCATTTTTTAATAAAATAACAAAGTTTAAGTTTTATAAGATCAAACGCTCGCCTTGCTCTGTTCTGTGGTGCACGTTCGTGACTCTCCTGTTCGAACTCGTTCAACAAAATGAACAAATCTTTTTCCGAATCAATTCGTTTGTTTCTTTCGCCGAATGAACCAAATGACTCGGAAAAAGATTTGTTCATTTTGATGAAAGAGTTCGAATAGGAGTGCGTTACAGAACAGAGCCAGGCGAGCGTTTGAGCTTATAAAACTTAAACTTTGGTATTTATTTATAAAACGAGCGATCGTTTCGCATGATAAGACCCTTATTCGTCGTCTGGAATTAGTTTAAAGCCCTTTGAACAAGTTTGCAGTTTGTACTTAAAGTTTCTTTTGGAACTTGAACCGTCTGGTTCCCATTGAAGTCCATTATATGGAGAAAAATCCTGGAATGTTTTCATCAAAAACCTTAATTTCTTTTCGACTGAAGAAAGAAAGACATGGACATCTTGGATGACATGGGGGTGAGTAAATTATCAGCAAAAGTTTTTTTAAAAGTGAACTACTCCTTTAAATAAAACACAAGACCCAGCTGTGTGTAAAAGCCTTTTATTGTTTGTTTGGTCAATTTAGTAGTTTTCAGTCAATTTTTGTATTGTGTATTTGTGTATCTTTAACCCTGGCGTTTTTATTTATGCACCTTTTTTGTATTTTTTATTTATTTATTTTTTGAGCGTGTTCTGTAATTGTTGTTCATGCAATAAAAAAAGAGAAAAAGAAGAAGAAGAAGAAAAAAAAAACAGGACCCAGCTGTGAAAGTCATCTCATGTCCGTGTCGTCTTATTCTTCACCTTAAAGGGTTAGTTCACCCAAAAATGAAAATTAAGTCATTAATTACTCACCCCCATGCTGTACCAACCCCGTAAGACCTTCGTTCGTCTTCGGAACACAAATGAAGATATTTTTGATTAAATTTGAGAGCTGTATAACTAACACATTGGCTCCTAAGGGACTGCCTCTTGACGGCCCAAAAAGTCAATGAAGAAAATGTTTAAATATCCCAAGTGACTACCGTGGCTCAACTATATGTTTATCAAGCGACGCGAATACTTTTTGTGCGAAAAAACAAACAAAAATAACGAGTTTATTCGACTATTTCTTTTCTTCCTTGTAGGCCAGAACGAGAATTCCTTAGATTTCCACGACGCATGCGCGAGATTTGCGATCTGCTTACACTACTTCAGATCGCAATTCTCGCGCATGCGTCGTGGAAATCTATAAGGAAGTCTCGTTCTGGCCTACAAGGAAGAAAAGAAATAGTCGAATAAACTCGTTATTTTTGTTTGTTTTTTCGCACAAAAAGTATTCGCGTCGCTTGATAAACATATAGTTGAGCCACGGTAGTCACTTGGGATATTTAAACATTTTCTTCATTGACTTTTTGGGCCGTCAAGAGGCAGTCCCTTAGGAGCCAATGTGTTAGTTATACAGCTCTCAAATTTAATCAAAAATATCTTCATTTGTGTTCCGAAGACGAACGAAGGGCTTACGGGGTTGGTACAGCATGGGGTTGAGTAATTAATTACTTAATTTTCATTTTTGGGTGAACTAACCCTTTAAGTATATAAAATATGCAAAAATTTCCATTCAGTGAAAAGTCCAAAATATTCTAATGTTAAATTCAGACAACAAAATAAGGTTTACAAAAAAGGTTTACTTTTATTAGATAAAGACAATATTATTGTTCCTCATTACAGTTCAATAAAACTTTGTGTTTGAAGAGGAATATAATCGCATGAAAAAAGAGCTGGATATTCCAAAACTATCCTTTTTAGCACATTTCTACATTTCATAGTTTATGGCTAATTTTTCACCAAGAAAAATAAACATAATGCAGGTTAAAAAAAATGCGGGTATTTTCATGAAACTCATTTGAAGTGAACTAACTTCCCCATAGAACTTTTACTCAGATGCACAAAAACAGGTGTGAGATATATTTTATAATGTAACTCTGAATGAATATTTTGAAAGAGGTATATTTTGAAAAGTTCTGATAAAGCCATGTTTTCCTGCCTCATCACTAGAGAAGCCTTAGATGTCTAAGTCTAGAAGCACTAGACCGGAGAGTCCGAGAGCAGGTGGGACAGGAACGGCTCCATCCCGGACGAGCCCCCACATTTGTCACGACCGGCTCAAAGCCGTGGCAAATGAGATGGAGATGCAAAAATGAAACATTTATTAACATAAATGTTGAAACATATAAAAACAAGAAAACATGGTCATCTGTAATGTCTGTCAGGTGCATGGATGTAAATGTATCAGCCAGAGAAAACAAAAATCTAAATCAAATAACAAAAGCCCAACCCAAACACAAAGCAACCCAAAGAACAGACTTTCCAGCCTAACGTTTATAAAGGGATGAACAGGTGGACAGGACATCGTTCCCTTGATGAGTCTCCTAGCCACACCCACTAGCCCGCCACAGCAATACGAGTAGAGACTCGTCACAGAACCAACACGAGACAAACGACAAGACTCAACAAGCCAAGACAAGATAAAAAAAAATGCAGAAACTAGACGCAACTAATGAAACTAATGACTATAGATTGCAAAAGAATAAAAGGGAAAAACAAAACAAAGAAAATACTTGAAAATATTTACTGGAACTGCAAACAAAAGAAATTAACAAGACTGCAACCTTGCAAGGAAGTAGAGAAAATAAGAATACAAAACTAGATAGCAACAATATCAAATATGGAGAGAATCCCAAATAAGAAATAAGATAACACACACACACACACACACAAGGATCAAGTGAACACAACCAGGCCAACGAGGACTAGACAAGGACTAAACAAGGGGCCGGGTCTAGAGGAACTTAAGGCAAACACACACAGACAAAGACATGCTGAGACACAAGACAAACAAGGAGACATTGAACAGAGACAAAACAGACAAGACTGACGGGACAGGATCCGGACACCAATGTTCAAAAGTGGTAAAGATTCTCTTCCTGAAGAACTGAGATGAATTTAGCTTTCACATCATCACCGTGTTTGCGTATAATGTCACAGATCTTTCTCATTTTCTCCTGACTGGTTACACTCTGTGTGATTTCTGAATATTGTTCTTCATGAATTAGTTCTTGCTGACACAGTTTATCTGCAATGATCTGGACATTAGTAACGCCCTGAATGATATCTGACCAATGATTATCGAAATATCTTGCTTTGTCTGCCTCACTATTCAGACGCGGCTCGTCTCTCTCAGGACGAATCTGATCTCTATTCAGAAGCAGCTCGTATTTAAACTCTTCTTTCTGAATCGTTGTAGTCCAGACTTTCTTCTGATCCTCTTCTCTGATGAGAGTCATTTGAAGATCATTCTCCAGACGTATGTTGACCTTGAAGAAGTTTGGGGGAGTTTCTCTTGTGAGTGTGATCCCTTCTTCGGGACTGATAGTGGCAGCATCAGAAACGGAGAGCATGTGTGGCGTTCTCATCTCGAATGGCCTGCCAGGTCTGGGATGCCTGATGATGCATGATGAAAATGACTTTTCAGTTTCCTCAACTTTTTCTTTTGCACACTCATCAAATGGAAAAAGGTAGAGATGTAGAATGAGAGGATCTTGAGAACGCAAGTAGAGAAGAAGATCGCAGTGTTCATACCATCCCATCCATCCCATGATCCAACTTTTAATCACTGTTAAAATAGAGAAGGACGGCTGGACAATCTTCGCATGGAATCGGCTCAACTGCACAGGTTTTGTGGTTATTCCCTCGTCTCTTACGGTGAGCACTTTCACAGCATCTTTGAGAGAGGGATCAGACTCTCCTAAACAGGCGTAATGGGGCAGATGAACTTCCTCCAGTTTCCCTGAGATCACCGTCACGTCCATCACTGGACCGATCCGGCTGCACTGCAGCCTCTCCAGCTCTGCGTTGAGGAAGAGTCCGTCTACGGTCCGGTATTGAAGGCTGACGACACAGGCACAGACCCATCGCATTCTGGTCCTGACACACTCGTAACGGCCGGGGTCAGTGCGGACGCTGAACTTTGACCCTCCTTCGTCTGTCCAGGCCAAAGGCTCAATCGGAAGCCACTGATCAGAATCAGCGATATGGACACAAGACTGACAGTGAATATCCAGCCCAGAAGGATTGGGCTCAGAGAACCTGTGAGGAACCAGAAGAAGAGTCAGGGGGTTTAATGCTCAGACAAGATTCATTGTTGAATAATCTAATCAATAAAACTCGCTACTAGTGACTGTAACTACGGCTATGTTTACACGGAAACGATTCTGAAGAGAAAATGTAAAAGTGGCGTTGCGTTATCAGTTTTTATTCTGCGTTTAGACGAGCGTTTTGGGGGTGAAATCCGCGTGCAGATGGTGACGCAAAAGTGTGTGAAATTCAATGTAGTATGCACTCTAGGCGGCTAATGCCTAGTTCACACTACATGATTTTAAAATGTCGGGCTGAACTGTGCAGTTCACACTACATGACTTGCTCTCAGTGAAATCATGAGTGTTCAAGTTGTTTAGCTGTTCACACCACACAACACAACGTGATTGATCCACAACAGGAGGTAACTCACTACACGAGTTAAAAACGCACTACATAGAGATACAACCACGATCGGATGATAAGAGCATATCATTTGTGACTCAATGAGAGCTGTTTCAGTACTATAGTACGGTCTAAATCCTGAAAATAATCAAACAAATAACGAGTTGACAACAACATGATTCTATCTGGTCTAGAAACCATGTTTTGTCACGAAAAACCACGCAATAAAACGAACCAGAAATGACGCGAAACTGCAGAGAAGAACACAACACGCGAATATGGACGTCAGACAGAAACTAGTGCTGCACACTGTTTGCTCGACGATCTGCTCTGAGAAAAAAAATGCAAAAAAGAAAAAGTAAGATTTACCTGGTGTCCTCAACCCATGCGTTGCTATGATTGGCTGTACTCATGACATCACTGAGATTGAGTCGCGCGACTGTTTGAGATATCTAGCATGCTAGATATTTTTCTGAGCTCGGTGACCTGTCTGCGAGGTGTCTGCGAGCTGTCTTTGGTGCGTTGTTGGCTCTTTCACACTAACGGATTGGCGAGCGTTAATCGTCCGCTAATCGCCCGCGATTTGCACGCGATAACACCCTGACTTGTCGGCGACTCAACGATTTGCAAATCGGGCTTAAATCGGGCTTAAAATCACGTAGTGTGAACTAGGCTTAAGAGTTCATACTACAACACCAAGCACGCGCTGCGCGCACCTGTGTACAACCGTCACTGTCAAGCAGACTTTACTTGACCGTTTACACGGGAACGCGGCGGTGGAGCGTTTTTAAGATTTCCACTCTGGAGGGTGGTTTCACTTTTTTGCGTTTTTAAGCCCCAAAAACGCCGTCGCCGTGTAAACGAAAGGCACATCCGATAAAATATTTTTACGTTTTCACCCGCGAGCGCCCTACAGGCCCTACGTTAGTTAGCATGGACTAACAATGAAGAAGACTAAAGTGTTTATTAATCTCAGTCAATGTTCATATCTGTCAATATTATTTAATGAACCTAACATGAATGAGCAATGAACAGTTGACTATAAGTTTAACACTTAATTATATTAATGAATGTGAACTAATGGGACCTTATTGTAAGGTTTTACCAACAATTAAAAAAACAACAACATACAAACAGTTTACTATAAAACAAACTATTCAACAGAGAGAAAATATAAAGCTAGTATATAACGCTGGGACTGACACTCACTAATAACAAACACTCAAATATAACAAGCAAATATATATTATAATGAGTTTAATTCGAAAATCATTGTCCAGTTATGTTTATATTCTCTATGTTTAACTAGATGAACTCTATATTCTCCATCAATAAGCTCACGTCTTCTATAAATCAGTGTTTTAACTGTGGATATTTTCACAGAGGTGTTCAGACAAAGAGCATCAGCAGTCTGTGGTGGACAGAAATGTTCATTATCACACATAATAAATGAGTTTGACTGTAAAGAACTGTTTTACTGCGCACAACACACAACTGTGTACAGTTAATCGTGCTGGAATAGATCAAGTAATACTGAGTGAATTTGACTATTTCTGTCTTATTCCTTGTCTGCAGGAATATTAATAGAGAAGATCACACTACAGCTGGAAAATACAGAAAACTAATAGCAAATTACACTTTAGAGATCATATGTGATCAGGAGCTTTGAGAAATTATCAGTGCTGGGTTGTGTTCCCCAGGTGTCCACAAGATATCCTCCTTCCCCACGGTGTCATTTACTATCTAGAACTGCATTTCCCAGCGTTCTGTCACGAACACCCACAGGGAACAGAAAATCCAGTTGCAGTAATTTTAATTAAGAGCAATCCATCTCGTAGGGAATATATCGACAAGTTTCCTACGCCCCATGAGGCCTTCCGTCAAAAGTGGGCGCGACTTCCGTTTGGAAGTAAACAAAGCGTGATTTGACATGCTTGACACTCGTTCATTCAACAGTTGACAGTCATTCAAGTTATAGCGATCCAAACTAGCTAACGATGTGGGAACACAACCTCAACGAAATTAAAAAGGGTGAAATAACAGTACCTTTACCCTCCGCAGTAGTTGGTTTGGAGTATTATAATAACATTATTAATAATCAATACTCATCAAGGCATGGCGACAGACAGTTGTGCGAGCTGACAAACAATTAAAATAAAAAATACACACTTAGTCATTGTGCTTTGGAGTTTATTCAAAATTATAAATGAATGTGCTACTTGAATACATTAACTGGCACATTTGGTATTCTGTCAACACAGGCTTTGATCCTGAGTTTAGGTGTAACATCATAGCGAACAGCCAATCACATGCGGAAAGAGTTTATAGAATATTAACAATTTAAACAAATGTACACAGGAAGATTCGTCGTCTTTTGGGAGGTGATGGAAACTACAGTTGTTGGCAGGATCAGAGACGGGCTCTGGCAGGATCACTCTGATTTTGTTTTCAGCTTATGTTCAAAACAATCACGTTTAAGCCACTGAATTAGTTTAGTCCGGTTTTACATACAACCGCGAACAGCACATGTTGTCCCTGAGCTCCGTAACGACATCTCTCATAAAGATTTGCGTCTTTAAATAGTAAAATAATTCTCCAAAAAACAGCTAGCCTCTTCGCTAACTAACACACAAAATACCATTGGAATGCTACTTCCGCCGCCTCACCGGAAGTTTCACCCACTTTATATTTTACAGGAGCGCCCCTCGGAAACTTGTGGATACACATCTCTAACAAGATTAACACAGAACAGCTGGGGAACAGCTGAGTGCAATGAACTGATGAGTGACAGTGACAGACAGAATGCTGGGAAATGCAGTTCCAGATAGTAAACGACACCGTGGGGAAGGAGGATATCTAGTGGACACATGGGGAACACAACCCACCACTGAGACAGAAATATCAGTAAATCAGTCAGAGACATTGCAACTCTACACTGAATGAATAAATAGATTGAGCTCAAACTAACTCAAATTAATAATAATGTGTTTATAGTCCTGCACAGGAGAGACTATATGTATTGATACTGGCCAAAATACAGTGTGTTGCGAAATATCAGCATATGGAGGATCAGCAAAAACCCATTATGTGCATCTCTAGTGTTCAGTGACGAATGAAGAACAGAGGATTAAACTATTATTTAGTCTGGAAAAATCCTTCACTAACACACAGTATATTTCACTCACACACAAACATACACACACACACACAGTATATTTCACTCACCCGGTTGTGTGTGTGTCACTGTTGTTTCTCTCAGGACGCTGTTTAATGTCACACAGAGACACTGAAGAGTTATAATAAAGTCTAAATCCTGCATAGAGGGGTTCAGTGAATGTGGTGCAGAGTGTGTGTAAGTGTGTGAGTGTGTGTGTGTCAGAGACGGTGTAGAAGGACAGAGTGCCGGCCGACACGTCCACATACACTCCTACTCTCTTAGAGGAGGAAGAGATGACAGGAATATCAGTGCTGTTATTATTATGACGGACAGAGAACCTGTTATCAGAACAGATCAGACTCCAGGATTTATCATTGCATCCAAACACACAGTCTTTACTCCATCCTTTCCTTCTGATTCCTTTATATGACACTGATACATCAGCTCGTCTCCCGCTCCATTCAGCCTCCCAGTAACAGCGTCCAGTCAGACTCTCTCCACACACAACCTGTTCATACACATCAAATCTCTCTGGATGATCAGGATAGGACTGACGCTCTTTCACACACGTCACTGTCCTGTTCTCCTCAGACAGAATGAGAAGAGTGTGTGCTGTGTTTGGATCCAGTGTGAGATCACAGGCATCTGAACACAAGAAGAGAGAAACATTTCACTAAATGACACAAATCAACAACAAATCACTGCATGAATGTGTGTGTGTGGACCTACATTTTTGCATTCCTGCTGTAATCCTGAACTCTCCACAATGATCCACACTATAACACACAAACATGATTCAGATTCATTTACTAAACGAAAGACAACACACACACACACACACACACAGTGACTAGAGTTGTCATCTGTCCTGTAAAATATGATATTTGTCCAGTATGTTACATTAGGCTCACACAGTGGAATAAACAGAATTTTGCAATATAGATAATACTATTAGCAAATATATTTCAATCAATTTCACAATAAGTAGAAGATAACATAGACATAATAAATACATAGACGCCCTATTGGCTGCTGGAGCATACGTTAACAGTGCCTCCATATTGCGGAAGGCAACTTTCCCATTCCTCTCATTACAGGAATTGAGAAAAATGCCTTTTCCGTGCGCTGCTTGGGGCTGTACAAATCGGCACACAATTTAAACCGGTCTTGGGGAATTACCTTTCACAAACAAGACTGAACATTTTTTCTGGTTGTATTTGGTCATTATAATTAGTAATAGTAAGGTACACCATGTACAAACCACTGATATTGGTTGATAAATGTAAACGTTATTATTGTTTTTATCCAGGGAAATCGCAGCTCACCCGTTTACTTGCATTTGTTCACAGCGCAGTCTTGCCCTGAGCAAAATGGCGGACACGTTGACGTATCGCAGCAACGTTCTAAAGCGGCCAATAGGGCGTCTATGTATTTATTATGTCTATGAGGAGAAGCTCATTTGCGTATGACAAAAGATTTTAATGCTTTTGTCATCAAGGACGCTGTTACACATATTCAGTTTCTGTTCATATATCTGTTTTCATAGACTTTCAGTTTTTTTCATCAGTCACATGTGTTTTTTTTATCACTAATCATCATTGCACCTACTTATCATTCAGTTCCCTTTCAGTCATTCACGTTCTACGCGTCGACTGACTGGGATCACGCTTAGATAGCCTGTCATGCACTAGTTGCCTTTCACTTCGGAGCCGATCGTTTGATTTCTCTGGAGAGTGCCGTTGTTTACAACGAGCGAGTGTGTCAGTGTTTTTCTGGAAGACTCTCCCAGTGCTGGTGTTCTACAACGCGAGTGCTTTGATCGCGAGCTTTGAGCTCTCAACTACTTTTTTAACAGCAACAAATTCTAAAGGTTTGTGTGTGTTGACGGCTGGTTAGAGGGCAGAAAAGTGAGTGCTTCACTGTTTCAAATCACTGTTCAGTGTTGCCGCGGTCATTCCCCTGTTTGCCCCGGCACTGTTGATGGGTCCTGTTTCCTGAAAAAGCAACACGGGTGTGTTTGCATCTTTTTAAAAAAATAAAAAATAAATAAATAGATGTCATTCCACCTGTGCGTTTCTGGATGTGGTCTCTCTGACGGTCACAATTATTGCATCACGTGTTTGGGCTTACAGCACACTGAAGCAGGTTTTGTGGGCGGTACATGTTCCCATTGCAGGAATATGACTGTCGCGGTGTTGAAATCGAGACTTGCCTTCGTCCGCGAAGTGTGAGTCCCCATTACCATGCCCCACCCCCAGGCGCCGTGTGAGATGGGTGAACGGAGGATAATGATGGAGGTCTTGCCCGGTAACCATTCCCTGTGGGCTCCTCACTCAATCACACTGCAGCCGATGGAATTCCTGTTGAACATGCTGGTCCCTCTGTAATGGACCGATCAACCGTTTCAATTGGGGTTCCCCAGAGGATAAGATGTCGATAGCAGCATAGGGTGAGCTGGCCTCTGGAGATGACGACGCACCCCAGTGCATTTTTTCTGGAATTGCATGGACAGCTTACCAGGTTGTGGATGGCACCTTTCTCTGCCAGAAACTGCCTAAATAGCTTTTCCCCCTCACTACCCTTGATGGAGGAGCGGTGAAGGGTTTCAAGGTTATCCCTCCAGTGGAGCGGTCTGTTGCGACACAGGTGCACCTGTGTCCGGTGGCCGCTGCCTTTCGGGGGGATCCTCGTCTCCCCCCAACGCCTGTGAGTGCTCGTCCATTCCGACAGGCAGAGCTTACAAAGGCTGTGGACAAGCTGCCTCTCTTGCGTGCCATGGCGCTGCTACAGGTTTGTCAGGCCAGGGCACCCATGGACATGCACGAGGGTAGCCCAGACCGTGGGCACATAGGTGAGCATCGCACTGCATCTGACCTCGCCCTCCGGGCATGAGTGTTGTGGCATGCACGATTGGTCTGGCGGTGTCTATCTTAGTGGTCCAGGAGTGCCATCGTTAGGCTCAGCCTGGTTGATATGGCGGATGCGGACAAGGTTCGGTTCCTGGTCTCCCCAGTTTCCCAGGTTGGGCTGGTCGGCAACACGACGGAGAACTACGTCCAACAGTTCTCTGCTGCCCAATGACACAGACGGAGGCCATCAGGCGCATCCTGCCCCGGCGGCCCACTGCTGCCTCCACCCCGCTGCCGGTGGCAGTTCCTCTGCCTGCTTCTGCCTGAAAGGCAGCGGCCACTGGACACAGGTGTACCTGTGTCACAACAGACCGCTCCACTGGAGGGATAGCCTTGAAACCCTTCACCGCTCCTCCATCAAGGGTAGTGAGGGGGAAAAGCGAGGGCATTCCCCTAGCGTCGCTCCCACTGGGCCTCTGCAACAGCCTCCAGCCAGGCCTCAGCATATGGAGCCGGCCGGAGTAGGGACGCCCAGCCCGCTCCAGGCGCTGCCATGCCAGGTGACAAGCCACAGCGAAAGCATTCTTGAGCGGGACACTCAGGGATGGAGGAGGATGCTCTGGGAGTTGGTCACCGACAGGGCCGGGAGGAGTCTTTGTTTGTGTGTGTGTCTGTTCCTCCACTGCTCCCAAAAGAAGCGGAGCAAGTGGTACCCACACTCCAAAGACCCAGGCATATATATGTATATATATAAATATAATACAAATACACTCACCTAAAGATTATTAGGAACACCTGTTCATTTTCTCATTAATGCAATTATTTAATCAACCAATCACATGGCAGTTGCTTCAATGCATTTAGGGGTGTGGTCCTGGTCAAGACAATCTCCTGAACTCCAAACTGAATGTCAGAATAGGAAAGAAAGGTGATTTAAGCAATTTTGAGCGTGGCATGGCTGTTGGTGCCAGACGGGCCGGTCTGAGTATTTCACAATCTGCTCAGTTACTGGGATTTTCACACACAACCATTTCTAGGGTTTACAAAGAATGGTGTGAAAAGGGAAAAACATCCAGTATGGGGCAGTCCTGTGGGAGAAAATGCCTTGTTGATGCTAGAGGTCAGAGGAGAATGGGCCGACTGATTCAAGCTGATAGAAGATCAACTTTGACTGAAATAACCACTCGTTACAACCGAGGTATGCAGCAAAGCATTTGTGAAGCCACAACACACACAACCTTGAGGCGGATGGGCTACAACAGCAGAAGACCCCACCGGGTACCACTCATATCCACTACAAATAGGAATAAGAGGCGACAATTTGCAAGAGCTCACCAAAATTGGACAGTTGAAGACTGGAAAAATGTTGCCTGGTCTGATGAGTCTCGATTTCTGTTGAGACATTCAGATGGTAGAGTCAGAATTTGGTGTAAACAGAATGAGAACATGGATCCATCATGCCTTGTTCCCACTGTTCAGGCTGGTGCTGGTGGTGTAATGGGGTGGGGATGTTTTCTTAGCACACTTTAGGCCCCTTAGTGCCAATTGGGCATCGTTTAAATGCCACGGCCTACCTGGGCATTGTTTCTGACTATGTCCATCCCTTTATGGCCACCATGTCCCCATCCTCTGATGGCTACTTCCAGCAGGATAATGCACCATGTCACAAAGCTGGAATCATTTCAAATTGGTTTCTTGAACATGTCAATGAGTTCACTGTACTAAAATGGCCCCCACAGTCACCAGATCTCAACCCAATAGAGCATCTTTGGGATGTGGTGGAATGGGAGCTTCGTGCCCTGGATGTGCATCCCACAAATCTCCATCAACTGCAAGATGCTATCCTATCAATACGGGCCAACATTTCTAAAGAATGCTTTCAGTACCTTGTTGAATCAATGCCACGTAGAATTAAGGCAGTTATGAAAGGCGAAAGGGGGTCAAACACAGTATTAGTATGGTGTTCCTAATAATCCTTTAGGTGAGTGTATATATGTATTGATACTGCAGAAAAAATACAGTGTGTGGAGAAATATCAGCATATGGAGGATCAGCGAAAACCCAATATGTGCATCTCTAGTGTTCAGTGACGTATGAAGAACAGAGGATTAAACTATTATTTAGTCTGGAAAAATCCTTCACTAACACACAGTATATTTCACTCACACACAAACATACACACACACTCACAGTATATTTTACTCACCCGGTTGTGTGTGTGTCACTGTTGTTTCTCTCAGGACGCTGTTTAATGTCACACAGAGACACTGAAGAGTTATAATAAAGTCTAAATCCTGCATAGAGGGGTTCAGTGAATGTGGTGCAGAGTGTGTGTAAGTGTGTGAGTGTGTGTGTGTCAGAGACGGTGTAGAAGGACAGAGTGCCGGCCGACACGTCCACATACACTCCTACTCTCTTAGAGGAGGAAGAGATGACAGGAATATCAGTGCTGTTATTATTATGATGGACAGAGAACCTGTTATCAGAACAGATCAGACTCCAGGATTTATCATTGCATCCAAACACACAGTCTTTACTCCATCCTTTCCTGCTGATTCCTTTATATGACACTGATACATCAGCTCGTCTCCCGCTCCATTCAGCCTCCCAGTAACAGCGTCCAGTCAGACTCTCTCCACACACAACCTGTTCATACACATCAAATCTCTCTGGTTTTTTAGGATACGACTGACGCTCTTTCACACACGTCACTGTCCTGTTCTCCTCAGAAAGAATGAGAAGAGTGTGTGCTGTGTTTGGATCCAGTGTGAGATCACAGGCATCTGAACATAAGAAGAGAGAAATATTTCACTAAATGACACAAATCAACAACAAATCACTGAATGAGTGTGAGTGTGTGTGTGTGTGTGTGTGTGTGTGTGTGTGTGTAGACCTACATTTTTGTATTCCTGTTGTAATCCTGAACT